TACCAGAGCGAGTCCTGATCATCTGACACACGTTCATGACTAGGACCCACATTTAGTACAGACAGCTTCTATCTCTTACAAGCGCGCTGCCGCTTAATTTTAGACAGGCCTCGGCGATATGATGGCCGTTAACATCCGCAGTGCTTGGAGCTATGGATAGCGAGTCCAAGTCGCTGCACTACATTTTCACCGCTCGTACTGGCTGATATTCTCAGTGCCAAATCTTTTAAGCTTAGCTCCGACATCCCCGATACGTGCTGCGGCGAGGAGATGCTAACTACTATTGCCACGTGGAAAAAAAACCTTTCTGGAACGAGGTCCAGGCCCGCGCTCCAAGCCCGTTATCGATACACGAGAAGATCGGTGGAACGATTGCAGCTGAAACAACGTTAGTGCGGCGCGGTCCGTTGTGGATGCAGATCATCGTTGATAGGTATTCCAGCACCGTGTTACGAAACTGGATGTATGTAGTAAACTTATCTCATTGCGGGAACGCATCATCGTGATACTTCTTGGAATGCACGGCCATGCCTATTTTGTTTGAAGTCGAGTTTAGAAGCAAGGGAGATTGTCATTCATTCCGCATTGCAGTGCAATGTGATATAAAGCATCGAGCTTTTCGGTCAGGTGTTCGTCAGGTGCATTCTCTAATCAACTTCTCCTTTTGCGCAGAAAAATATACAAATGCGCAACGGAAATGGATGGGGCGAATACATTCGACAAACACCGTCATCCCGGTTGTAAACTGTGACTTCACTTCAATCTCACGACCGTCGACTCCTTTTGTTTTATCTATGTGAAATGTTGCAAGGATCGAAACCATGGCAGCCCGCAGCTGTCTAAGTTCGACAATTCATTCCTCGTCTTTCAATGGGAGCAGTCTCGCTTGACGTGGCATGAGGGATCCCAGCATGACCAGAGCAATAAAGTATCAATTCTTGATGTGATGATGCATCCCTGGTGACATCGCAACGCATCGTAAGACAATGACGGTCTATCTTTGAGGCACGTCAGTCTTGTCGAGCTTATTACAACAGTGTCGATTTCGGGCCGAGTTTGACTTGAACCTCTGGATGGAGAACTATGGCGAAAATGAATGCGTGTAACATCGACAAGCTCTGTATTTGTGTTGTTTCTTAGAACCTAACAAAAGGATCCAAAGTATACCGTTTCGATTCTGGCTATAGGTGCGACGGGTAGAATATTGAGGCGGGTGGAATAATGTGTTCGATAGCGCTCACAGATGTAGGCCATCGCTGCGGCTAGATGGATTGCGAACACTTGTTCTTCGGAGTCATCTTTCTCGTCTATTTAGGCCAAGCAATCCGATACCATGGATTATTGAGTAATCCTTGCTTCCTAAACCAAGTCGGTTACAGTGTCACCTGTAATAAATAAATTATCAGACTAGCCACGATCTTTAATTTGGAAAACTCGAAAGGCGCATCAAGCACCTTTTAGGCCAACTTTCTTGAGTAAAATACATCAATGCATGACGCTTGTACCGGGAAATCAGGCGGCGATATGTCCAACTGAAAAGCTCCCAGCTTACACTCGATAGAATCAATGTCGACTCACGAAAAGAAAATACTAAGAGGATGATCGCTTTCGTGTAACATTGGTCAGCCCGCCGCCTGCGTATAAACCGTTACACCAAAAGGTGAAATACTGAAAGCTTAGCTTTCAGTATCAACGACGGTGTATGTACTGATTATGGGAACTCAGGTAAGCCGGCGTGCTTACACCTCGCAGCTTTTGCCCGTTCGCAAGGTCTTTGACCAATTGCGCGACGGCAGAGACAATTATTCTCTGACTGTGTTTCGTATCCATATGTAACCCCCGTGATATTTGCTGCGATAAAGCTGCTCAAGCATCAACATATGCTATACGTGATCACTAACCCTTGAATATGAATACGTGCCTCGAAACCTTGAAAACCGTTCAACAAGCTAACAAGTAAATTTCACGCTAGCGAAGTTAGGAATCTGCTTTAATGCATGATGGAAAACTTATCTTTCTGAGATCCCAATACTGATCCATAGCGCAACATGATCATGTTACGCTCCACGATAAAGCTGGGAAAAGACACGAGCTACAGCTCAGATTGCAATGGAGCATACAACAACTTCCGGTACAATTGAGCACGGATCAAGTCGCCTGAAAAATGTCGGGTAGAGTATTCAACCACAAGTATATGCAGACCCACCGTATATATTCTTCCAGACTGCGTGTGCCAACAAATGTTCACTGATATTTATATGGAGGCATTGCCTATCACAGGGAGAGGCTTTGGACCGTCTCGCAATGAAGGCCAAAAGAAAAGTGATAGTGCCGCCAAAGGCACACGCATTGATTGGTGAATACGGATGGATGCACCGGGCGATTGAGCAACTCAAATATGATACTCCTTTTTGAGGCATTCAAAAAAAAGTGATCTTGACGTCTAGCCAAAAATCACTCTACGGGTCTTCCCTTAGCTTCGTGACGTGCCTGTGGTATTGTTATTTCACTAGCAATAACGATTCACAGTCATGATCTGGTGGATAAAAGGAAAAAACGATTGATGATTTCAATTGGATCTCTTCCTACGTGATAGTTACATGATATTAGAGATCCGTGCTAGACGAGGAGGATCAAAACGTACCTAACGGAACTTAAGAACTTGCTCTGATTCCCAGTGTCCGTTCGGTGATGAAATATTCGGACAGCAACTACTTACAGACATGTGGGGTTCAGCCATGTACTTGGATCATATACTTACTGTTGTAAGCAGCGGGCGAGACAAGCGTCGAACAGTTCCATGACATGAAGCAGATTTCGGCTTTTCCGATGTCTCTTTTCAGAGAAAATGCATGCAAAGATGCAGACTTGGGGCCTAGAAAGTTGAGTCGGACACGAGATTTAGTAGCCCTGAGATGGCATAGAGGGCGTGGTGATAGATGAACCAACACATGCCTTGCACAAGCCTCAACCTCCCAAGCATCATTCTGAAGGAACAAAACGTCCGTTGCCCCTCAGTGGGCATGGCATTTAGCAAGCATGATGGTTGTTGTTTGTTGTCGGGACTGCAAATTGCAATGATTAGGCAGCGGAGACCCAATAATCCTACTCAATTTCCTACATGCCTCCCAAAGCTCACCGCGCTGGCGCAACGGGCCTCCCTCGTACACACTCACGTTCATCGTCAGGAGGCTCCTCCAAAGCGGCACTGAACCTTCACTTTACGCAGAAGGATCCTGCTCCAACAAAGCAACCCGAAAGAACGAAGAAAAACGGTTTAATTCATGATGTGCGTCGAATAATAACCCCTCAAAATTTTTTGGTTAAACCGCGTGATTCCTTTCGTTTAGCCGCATCCAAGAAATACTTCGCCGTATCCTCCTCGAGTGAATAGCTCAACACGTCTTGCTTCAAGGGAGCAGCTACCAGTTCAAACACAGCGGCATGTACCTCCCTCAAACCAGCGGCAGACAACGTCAACTGGCAAACCTAAAGCTGGATTTACTATCGCTAGCCAAAGTGCAGATGAAGATGATGAATGGGTCTCTAGTGAGAGTGGGGCAGCGACTCCGAGCAGTGTGAGCTCCGACAGTGCCAGGTCCCAGACACCGGTCGAGACGCACAAACATTCACTCCCCGCGGCTCCGCCCATTGATGAACTCATACATCAACCGGAAACTCCAAGAGCACAGCCGCCCTCTATGTCACGGGTGCCTACCATCCGTCCCCCCGATGCACCAGCTCGAGCGTCATCAGCTGTAGCTATGACAGTCGCACGTGCATCACCAGCTCCAGTACTAGCTGCATCTAGACATCAAGCGAAACAATCTAATCTCTCTCAGTGTCCTTCTCCCGAGCGCCGTATCATGGAGACTCGCTCAGAGAACACTTCGCCTATTCATCGCTCACGTCCACACAAGCGTCAGTCAGTCACACGCCCACCATCTACTCATTCGGCAACAAGCAGAAATGATGCGCCATTACGCCCACATCCACTTATCCGAGGTCAGTCATATGGCCAGGCAACTCCAGTGACACCACGGATGGTGCCTCTCGCCCCACTCACCATCACATCTGAAGCTGCTCCAGCGCATATATCCAGCACCCAGACTTATGATACAGAGGATATAATATGCACTTCGCCGTCCAGTATCAAGACTGCACTTGCTCCATCACCTAACCGCAGAACATCAATATCATCCGCACGTTCGGTGGTCACTCTTCCAACTCAAGCACATATTCAACCACTCCAATTCAAGGTCGTACACGACCGAACTCGCACCCTGTCATCTATGTCATCAACTTCATCGAGCTCTGTGCAAGCGCTGTCATCACTTGCACAGCTTCCCACCACCCGTCCGCCAACGCCGCAATACACCTCGCATTTTCCTGCAGCTAGTCTGTACACCAACCTTGAAACCGTGCACCCGTTACTCCCACCACCCTACCTTAGTGCACATGTGTCTATCCTTGCGCACCGAAGTCCGTTGAGGGAGTCGTATGATAGAGTTATTGCCGCCAAGGAACAACAACGACGTGGCGAGAGTGCTTGAGGTGATGCTTTTGAATCTTAACTGACCGGTGGGATGTCTGTGACACATCTCCTCATTCGCCCTCATTTATTAAACTGACCGATATTTCAGATCTATACATACCATTATTATCAATTTTTCTTTCGTCATTGCACCCGACTTGTGTACCATTGTGGACAATACGATACCATTCACTGTCCCAGTGTCCTCGAAAGCTATCGGCGTCTCAGTCTTTATTTCTTCAGAGTCGTAGCTATGATCTCCTGCCCTTGCAAAGGCCTTGAACCCGAGTGCTCTTGGTATTACAAGACAATCTGACATCTATGTAGAATTCTTCGCCTAAGTAGTCCTCTCCCTCGAGAGATAGGATTATATGTAGTTTTATGTAATGGTATGAGGACAATGTAAGTAGTACGTATACCTGCTATCAATGTTGATGTAAGTGGAAACTTTGAATAAATGTGACGTGTCAGTCACAACTTCCGCACGTTCACATTCACAAAAACCCTATCCAGTTGGGGCACAACTAGCCACGCAGTCTGATTCTCATTTCATTCCACCGCTCTCTCCAGCGATAGTTACGCTTTTCAAAAAACCAGAATTTTTTGCATAAGACACCTTGAACACCGGAGACATGTGGTTGTCTGATGCACAAAGTGCGTTTACCCAAGCTGTCGGCTCTGACTATTGAATGAGAATCATGTACCTCAGAAATCGGCGTGGCCCTTACGACCTTCGGGACACTGTTCATGTTCCTTGGTGTCATGCTGTTCTTTGACGCTGCTTTGCTAGCGCTAGGAAATGTATGCAACCCCAGTTCGCGTCTTCCATGTTGTGCTCACACCAAGCTCTTGCACAGATGCTTTTCTTGTCTGGTCTCACCTTGATTATTGGCCCTCAAAAGACATTTTACTTCTTCGCGCGAAAGCAGAAGCTTCGAGGAACAGCATGCTTCATTGGCGGTATTCTGCTCGTGTTTATGAAGTATGCATTCATTGGAATGATTGTTGAGATATTTGGTTTCTTAAACCTATTTGGGTACGTGGCGCATTTCCTAACGAAGAATTAGACCTGATAGCTAGGTTCAGTGACTTCTTCCCCGTGGTCGTGACATTCCTGCGCCAGTTGCCATTCATTGGCAACCTATTGTCGTTGCCATACATTCGACCCGTAAGAGTCATTTATCGTCATGAATAAACGTTACAGCTAAACCAATGGGAGCAGATCGTGGACCGTATAGCAGGTTCAAGGACGTCGGCTGTGTGAAACAGCGAATAGGCTCATACAACATCAGATACCCACTCGGAATTACAGCGGCATTTACAAATAATCGTCTCAATACATGTCCATGAGATAATTCCTGAGCAGCATTGAATGTCTTATACTAGTTAATGGGATCACGGGTATGCTCTTCCTTCATCATGGTCGAACTTCTCATGCGACCGCAATCAATTCGTCACTTGATGCTATCTTTTAACTGTTCGATCGTGCTTTAGCATCATTGGAGAGCGAGTCGGCCAGACAGAAATCAGCTGCATGCGTTGGTGGACAGCTCGTCGGGTTCCACTCTTCCTTATCTGTTTAACAAACAACAGTACCGTTGAATAGGACAATGTAAGTTTGCTTTCGAGGCCAACAAGCCTGGCGTCGGGACAATATATGTGCGGCGCATGTATGCCCTATCGGTCAGGCCACCTTGTGCCAAGGGGTACTGAGCCCCGCCCACAACACCTAATACACCTTGGAATGAGAAATGCCAGCAGGCCAGAGGAAGTAACGATGAGACTGGTGCTTCCGCTTCCAAGACCCTTTGTACTGAAGATGCACTGACGTTTTGCACGAGAGGAAGAATGAGTAATAGCTTGATAGCTGAAAAGACGTATGGGGCACTCGAAGCAAAAGAGACAGAAAGAACACCCGATGCCCTCGAAACCAGGAGGCAGAGCAGCGAACAACAACACCCGTATACGGTTAACAACAAGGCAAGGTGGATGAAGAGTTGTATATTGCTACACCAATAATCCTGTGAAGCAACATTCAGAAGATGGTCCGTTCAATTGTTCATGTTCAAACATTAGCCAGGACTTCCTCGTTCGTCGTTCCCGGGACCCGCAGGAGGTGCCTTGTTTTCGGACGGCGAAGAAAGGAAGGGCACATGTCTATATGCCTAAAAATGCTCTGACGCTCCATTAGAGGCCAAGAAATAATTTGAATGCAACGAGCCTGAATGATGCTCCACAATGTCATGACGCTGGAACTCCGAGAAATATGTATCCACCCATGTCAGAAACCTTGAAGCTTTGATTGGTGCGAGCTACATTCGGGTAAATCGTAGATCATGTAGCGGTTCAAGGTATTGGCGATGAATCTCATACAAACTCACGTCATTTAGGTATCATTTAGAGATACTCACCGGATGGCAGGGGCATCGGCATCGTTATATACGAAGACATCGAATAATAGCTATAATAACATCTGTGGGGTAGTGAATACTTATAAGGATTGAGGTCACAGTATACTACCGTACTTTATTGTGAATGTATTCTCATGCGACCCTAACTAATTCGTCACTGGACTTCTTTTCACTGCTCGAGCGTCCTTTCGCATCACCAGGGAGCGACTCGGTTGGAGAGAAGTTGTCGGCGGCACGCTTCAAGTTGGCAGTAAGCTCATCGCGGTTGCGGAATGAGAATCCGTTCTTCCTCGATTGGTCGACAACAAGACCACTGTATAGGGTTTAGAACAACTCAAACTTGTAAAAATGTTGGATCTTACGCAGCGTAAATAGTCATGGCGATATAACCTGACATTGGAACAAGATACGAGTGACGGGTATTTGTTAGGTCGGCTAGGGCACCTTGTGCAGGTGGGTACCAAGCCCCTCCCCCGACACCCTGAGTTTAGTGAGAACCTTGAATCGAGCACAGCCAGCAGACGAGAAGACCCACCATAACAATCAGACCAGAGCCCCGCTTGGTGTGCACTCCGAGGTTCTTAGTACCCAGGGTGAAGATACACTAAAAGTACACAAGAAATGAGTTGGGTTGTAGCTTAAAAAGAGGAAAGGACATACAGGATAGCAAATGGATTCGAAGAAGAACAGACAGAAGAGACATGCGACAGCGCTATACCCAGGAAGCTGGGAGATCAAGAGGCAGAACAGGAAACAGCAAAACCCGTAGAAGGCTAACAATAAGGCAGGGTCGATGAAGTTGAGTATCAATACACCAGCAAATCTGTACGTCATTAAATTGAGAATGACAATGAAGGTAGAAAATCGTGTTATGTCTTACCGTCCTACGGTGAAGGTGATCTGGCAGAACGAGAAGAGCTGGCTGGCCTTTGACTGGTCGATACCAATTCCTTGGTCAACGAGGAAGTTGACGGCGAAAGAGGCGACGGTGACTTGCGCACCACTATGCTATATTTAAGGCTCACTATACAGGCTTGAGAGAACGAGATCGACGTACACATAGGCAGTCTGGGCAACGAACCCAAAGATACAGCGATATTGCTGCCAGAAAGGGCCTTGGCCATCTGTAATGCCGGTCTCGTCTATCTCTTCAGCCAAAGCATCTTCTGTGATTTCAGGTAGGTTGCAGAAGCTGTTAAAATTAGGACGGATGTTCCGTCAGGCAGAAACGGGTCTCACAAAAATAGTATATTAAGTACAATGCCGAGGCCAGCAACTGCGAGATAGACCCTAACGAAAGTTTAGTATGGCACTTGCACATAAGCTATCAGACAGACCATTGCACAGTGCCAAGACTGGTCGCATTGGCACCAGTGAAAAACCAGCGCGAAGCGATCAAAGGCCCAGCAAAGGATGCGACGCCTTGGAAGCCTTGACTGAAGTTCAAACGGGCGGCGGCATACTGAGGCGTGCCAAGTACGGATATGTAGGAGTTGGCCGCGACCTCAAGTGTTGAGAGGCCGCAACCTGGGTAGGATAAGATATCAGCAATATATTAAAAAAGCTCTTATGGATTGAATTACCGATTACGAATGTACTCCCGACAAACCCTCCATATGTTTCGTATTTTGCGGATGGCCAGAAGAATACGGCACCTAAGAAATAGTAAGTCTGTGTATTTTGCGAATGAGGACATCAATACCAATGGAGTACAGGCCAAGGCCGATATGAATGCCTTTCTAGTATAAGCAGAATTGATTCGTTATCTTGTTTATGGATCTCCAGATTGAAAGCCACCTTGTATCCTATTCTTCTCATCTGCTTGAATCAGTATTGTTCTGGATGAAACACTGATGCTACTCACAAATGTACCCGCGAATGGCGCCCACACGAAATAAGCACCCTAATTCGCGATTAATAAGAGTACTATAATCAGGACCAGAAACTTACAAAGTATGCCAATTGCAAGAGCGTGCTCTGAAGCTTGGAGATCCCGAATACAGTCTGGAAGTGCGCGTTGAGCACATCAAGAAGCTGTTATCGAACGTTTCGATCAACTGGAGGAATAAATTTGCAAATGCAGGAAATTCATACACCATAGGCAAAACCCCCTGCAGTTCGACTTCGTTATTTCGGCACCAATACCACAAGGAGATCCACGACTCACAAGTAAAAAACAGAGATGTTACAAGAGCGAAGGCAAAGGCCCATTGCCTTCGTCCGAGTTGAGCTCCTGTGGCATTTCGTTCAATCATTGAAGCGAACGTGTGCTCAGTGCTCACCGGTAGTTCCTGTAGGTGGTGCCATGCAGAAAAAGATGGGCGCGCGCCTGTATGCCTGAGAACCATTCGAAGCTTATATGATTGCGGACCGTGATTGCACATTGGAGGTCAGCAAATGATTTGGGTCACCATGGGGCATCGTCGGATCAAGTGAGGCTCCCGCATACTATCGGGTAGTATAATTGTAGTGTGAGTGCTGCGCAAGTCCTAGTATGACCTGTGACCCCTCCACAAACCCGAACGCGCGTTCTGTATACGGACAACCGCGCGATAATTAGCCACGTGTCCTTGAACAAATGATCCTTTGAACTAATTTTGGACTGAAGTACTGAATACCTGTGGTGATCTGGCAAAACAATCAGGCAACCCTCAACATTGCAACACCCACCACGGTCCGCCGTCCTCGTATATCCAGAAAATGTCTTCGAGTATTTTCGCAGAATGGTTACTCGTGGGTTCAGTCCCTAGTATTTCTCTCTCAAACTGAGTTCATCACAGATTCACTACGCGTCGATTAAGAAGCGATCGCCAAACGAAGGTCGCAGACGATGGAAACTTCAGGTCGCACAAAAGTTTTGGGCCCCGGGCGAGAAAACGTTGTCATCTGTGAGCACTGGGCAAATCATATAACTATTCACATGTAATCCCAGGCATTTAAATGTATCTCAGACCACTAGTGCCGCTGGTACTGATGACAATGCGGATTTCTATATGGACAGTGATCCTTTTGACGAAGCGTCAGCTGACAGAGAAGAGCTGGGAATCCTTTTGCGAACTGATTTTTCCGATGAGGCTGCTTGGCTAGCTTTCTGCAGTCGACTTGAAGAAGGAGAGAAGGAGTTTACAGTCAGCCCTTTGGAAGAAGATCCAGACACAATAATGGTCGATCAACTTGAACCCAACAATGCAAGTCCGAGTGCTGTAACTACGACAGCAGAAGATGACAGCCATGAATCTGAGGATGAGAACTCCCCCAGTGCAATCTTTCACATCGTCAATCCATCTTTACCCCAGGAACGTGCTCTGCTAACCAACATCTCAAATCTTGCGGCGCTTCGCTTCTTTAACGACGTGGATGTCAGACAAGCCCCCACTCCTCCACCAGATGCCAAACGCGTCAGGCCTCCAAACAGATTAGTCGACTCAGGTGGTTGGCAGGAGGTCTATGTGGGAAAGAACTTGTGGATATACGACGCCAAGTCCAACAGTGATCAATGCGTGCGAGTGGTCAGTCAGAGCAGCTCGGACATGTATGGCACAGCAACGTGAGGCTGATGAAATACACTTGGTCACCAGTGCTAATTATGATTGCAGGGCCGATAGCTGGAGAGCTAGGGTATCTCACATCTGCGAACTGCAAGTAAACCTGTCTTCTGGCGCGATGAAGATCGACTTCGGAGGCCTGGATCGCTGGGATTATGCGGAACGTCAACGAAACATGCAGGAAGCTGAGACTCCAGAAGTTTTGTGAATGTTCATTAAGTCATAGATTCTACCAGGAATGGAGAGATGCAATGTTTTTTTTTAAGATGCAAGCAGCCAGCTACAGTAAAAACGATGCATAGTAAACCTCAAGGTGTCCTCTGCCACGCAACTTCCCAAGAGGATTTTAAGAGGTGACAGTCCAGACACGAACAAGGTTGTCAGTGAATCCACCAAACAACGTCTGCCCGTCTGCTGACCATGCGATCGACACACACTCAGGTTCCCGTGAGTTAGGGCCAACGTCAGTGAAGCTGGGCTTGAGCTCGTCAACGATAGACCTAGAGACCATACCAATAAGCTAGATGTTATTGAAATTTTGGAAGTACGTACTTGCTCTCGAGGTCAAAGATTTTAACGCAGCTGGCAGTGGCAGCGCATAGCCAGTAGCGGTTGGGCGAGAACACAAGAGCATTGACAATGTCACCAGCCTCAAGCGAGTAAAGGTGCTTGCCCTCGTTCAGGTCCCAAAGCATGGTAATGCCATCCTTGCCACCTGATGCAGCAAGGGAACCATCAGGAGAGACAGAGATGGTGTTGATGTAGCCGGTGTGGCCGTAGTGGTTGGTCTTCAATTTGAACTTGGAGAGTTCCCAGACCTGTAAAGGTGGTTTCAGCACTGGGTGTACTGGGATATTGCTACGAGCGATTCATGGATCTTTGATGAAAAGCATCATCCATCGGGTCAAACAAAGGTATAACGTCACTAGACTAGAATAGCCAGTGAAATGAATCTTCTGGAACGCTCACCTTTACAACCTTGTCCCATCCACAAGACACAATAACAGGGTTCATGACGTTGGGGCTGAAGCGCACGCAAGACACCCTAGACCGTATTGTCAGGGTATGATCTCTATTTAAGCATGACTTCCACGCACCACTCGGTGTGACCATCATCCTTGATATCGTACTTGCACTCTCCAAGGGTGTTCCAAAGTTTGATTGTTCGGTCACGCGAACCAGAAACAATCTGTCTGTTGTCTGCGCTGAAGCTGACAGACAAGACATCAGAGGTGTGGCCAACGAATCGGCGAGTGGTCTGTCCGGTGTTCAAGTCCCAGAGACGCAGGGTGTGGTCCCAAGAGGAGGAAAGGGCAAATTGACCATCGGAAGAGATGACAATGTCAGAGACGAAGTGGTTGTGGCCGTGAAGAATTCGTTTTGGGTAGCCATACGTATCCTCATCGCGAGTAAGCTGCCAAACAATGATGGTCTTGTCTGGGCCTTAAAGTCAACTAACGAAAGTTATGCAAAAATGTCACTCATACCTCGGGAAGCCGTCAGAATCATGTCTGGGTTCTCCGAGGAGGTAGCAATAGCAGTTACCCATCCTTTATGGCCAGGGAGGGAGCCAAGGAAACGCAAGGATTCAGCCATTAGTCGTAGGTCGCTGAATATCGAGGGACGCGGATGAGGATGGCCTAAGATTAGGTGTGACGTGACAGCCACCGTGACCTCAGCTACATAGTTCCCCGGCATATTCCGCCTTATGAATGCATTGTTACGAACTTTCTTCTCAACGTACATGCACTTGATACAGACCAGGACTTAATTTGAACACGGTGAGTCTGCATGACTGTGCATCCTTCATTTATGATGTTATTCTTTCAATATTTGCTACTTCAGAGGCTAGTCCGATGAGACCAATTTTCCACCAAGATCTCTGATACTTATATCCTTGAATGCGCGCCCCAGTACTTTGGCTGACTATATCCTTTTAATAGGTCCGGCTCCCATGAGAAATTTTCCGCGCTATGTATGCAACTGAGCAATTCCATTAATTGATCCATATGCCACTCAGTTCCTGGAGGCTCAATGAGCGGAAATGATGTTTGTTCCACAGTCGTTTCTACGTTAATGCCATCTCCATGCAGTGTTCATGCATGTCGCTCATGATCGTTTCGTCACATTAAATTTCTGAAGTGTCAATTGCTCCGTCACAACAGAAGATAGAGTGGCGGCACGCCGCTCTACTATGTGAATAAACTGCAAACATTCCCTTGCAGAATTTTTGGTCAGCGCGTCCGATTATCGTGATATGGCACTACCTCCGAGTCGTTCCACGCTTTAACACCCTATCATCGCCACGTATTCATCGCCTTCCTGTGGTTTGTCACTGGGTCCCAATGATGGAACAATAACTTTGAAAGAGCGCTTTCTGATTTAAATAAAGGCTTTTTCCTGTTTGTATCGCTCTCATTCGTTGACTACCCAATAATAACATGCAAGGGAAGACGAGGACGCCAATCATTAGTGAGTGGTCGGTTGAACAAGCTGTGCTCATTCTTGCCTGACCATGGCTCGTAGTCGACACTGACCCTGGCGTGGACGACACTCTAGCTATGTATGTCCTCAATTCCCTTCGCAAATTTAAAGTCTCAAGGCATTGACAGCCTGCTTGCTATCACATCACCCGAACTAGAAATCCTTGCGTATATCGTTTCATTCGGTCCGTAAATGCGCTAAGATGGTCTAAAATGGCCTTATCGATATTTGATTACAGGGAATACCGATGTTCACGCAACTTAGTTGAGCCGCTGCTCGGTCCAAGCTTCAAACTAACTAAATGTGACTCCGCAGTGACAACATCTACAAGCTTTACCAGGCGATAGGGCGCCACATTGCGCTACACCCTGAAGATGCCGTAAGGTTTCCAAATTTCTCACCTACAGTCCCGCCCGTCCTGGCTGTTGGACCAGAAGGACCTCTAGAAGGTGGACGGCACTTTGCTCAATACTTCCACGGCCGGTAAGTTTCCATTCGACTTTGGAGATGGGTTCTCATTTGTTGCTGTAGTGATGGTTTATCGAATATAAGCGAACGCCACCCCGACTTGAATGTTGACCTCAAAGATTCGTCTTTTGACCACAATTTTCAACCGGTGAAAGAATCAGGGGTCGAAGTGGCCCTGCGTTTACTTGAGTCACGTCCCGACAGAAGCATCACATATGCGGTCCTGGGTCCGATGACCAATCTGGCACAACTTGTGCGCCAACACCGTCAAACAGTTGTGGATAAAATTGGCCGAGTCATTGCCATGGCAGGAGCCTTGGATGTTCCCGGAAACACTACTTCGGTCGCGGAATGTAAGCAATTAAAGACGTTCGTGAAGAAAAATTCCACTGATCTTGTTCGCTGTGCAGTCAATGTTTTTGCTGATCCTTACGCAGCGAAAGAGCTTCTAGTACCGACAGATCCCACCAGTGGTCTCCCGCTTGACAGAGTAATACTCGCACCCTTGGATATCACTACTATCCACGAACTCCCTTTCTCGCATTATATACAAAAGGTAGACCCTGCGTTCAAGACTACAGCTCAACCGTCGAATGCAGATGGTAAATCACCTCTTGTCCACTTTACCAGCTCTGTTTTCGAACGCACGAGGGAAATCATGCTCCAGTATGGAAAGGATGCACTAGAGTTGCATGACATTGTCGCCATTTGGTGCGCGATTGAGAACCCACCTGAAATCAATCCAGTTGGCGATCTTCCTGGAATGTCAAGTGGATGGGTTATAGCCGAGCGAACATTCGATATTGAACGGTGCGATCCTGCGTGTTCCCGACCTTTTACTGTTCACTTGACATCTTTCATATAAAGGGCCGGGGAAATTACTCGTGGCATGTTTGTCACTGACCGAAGAAAGGATAACACTGCATACGCACCTGGTGCCAATCGGGCAGAGGTCCAAGCTCAACTAGACCTGCGCCGGCTCGGGCACGGGCTCCTCGAGTCCACCGCGCTGCCTGCGAGAGTAGAGATAGAAGACCAGGAACTTGAGCAGAGACAACAGAAAGGCATAGCATGTATCGTAGAAACGCCGGGGCCAAGCGTTCTTCTTCAACTGCTGACACGTAGGGTCTGGGGCATCCAATGATTGTCATTTCCATATGTAGAATGATTAATTGAAAGTGGTACTATACCCATGTGCTTGAACAGATCTGGTAACCCAAGTCAGACGTTAACTTCCTTCAAGTTGAAGCTTCGAGGTTTGAAACGTATCATGGTAGAAACCCTTCTAACGAAATTCACCCACTCAAGGTTTTTACTGTGATGGTCCTCATGCCACCCGCCGTCGACACGTTCACATGCCATACACTCGTGAAGAGGTTGGCATTGCTGTGGAGATTGCACAACACCCTTCGCGTGGACGCCTCCGCTCTCGACCGAACCTCATAATACAGATGTCAAGTCCAGAGAGTATCTCGCCCGACGATATTGCCACTAGATTTGCAGCTATCGAAGAGTGGAAAAGGACTCAGTGAAGAAGTTCACGGCGTTGACGAAGTTGAAGGAAATGTCTTTGATTTGGTTTGGAGCAAACAAGGAACAACTGTACTTTTAACCATACATTGTCATATACGTACATAGCCTCGTAGCACTTCGAGAATTTTGCCAGGTGGCAGAAGCACTTTGGCGATTCTGCCAACTTCTGCTGGCACAACTTATAGTCGCAAATTGCCTCCCCCAGTGCATGCATGACTACCAACAGTTCTTCACCACGGCCGCCGCGTGTACTTCCCATTTCTAGCACACCAGTTCTAAATCAGAGGCATTCTCATGCTGAAGCACTAACGTACGATTGTCCCACCATGTGGACACTCGCTTCCCATCGCTTGATAGCCAGACTTGGAGTGTCTGGTAACTCTATAAGTACCTCAAGTTAATTGGCCGTAATGACTTTATTTAGATTTCCCCACTGGCGTGCACTAGTATGTTTTTGAGAACACTCGTTCGAGCTGGCCTCATGCTATTACTAGCGGCTAGCATATTCATAACCGCCGTATCTGTTGTCCAGGACAATCTTCATACTACGGAAGTAGGGCACATTGAGATTCAATCCAAGGTTCACAATGCAACTGGCATTCGTTTTGTCAAGAACTCAGGAATCTGTGAAACAACTCCAAACGTTATCCAAATTTCTGGTTACATCAATGTTGGAGCAAACATGTCCATGGTATATTTCTGTTCCCTATGTTCCAGATGTAAACTGACACGAGACAGTGGTTCTGGTTCTTCGAGTCTAGAAACTCACCGGAAACAGCCCCATTCACTCTATGGTAGGTTGCCGGGAAGCTGGGTCACACAAGTAATCTAAGTCGAGTCACACCTCTGAACTGCTTTCACAGGTTGAATGGCGGTCCTGGATGCTCTTCTATGATTGGATTGTTCCAAGGTTGTTTGGTTCAATTGCCTTTTGATTTACTTCTAATTTTTCGCAGAGAACGGGCCATGCTTAGTGAATGCCGACCAAAATTCCACCGTTCTTAACCCCTACAGGCATGTCATATCATAGCCGTTTTTATATGCTAATATAACATGACTTTCTACAGCTGGAATGGTCTCAGCAATAGTATGTAGCATGTTGCCCTCCGATTTCGTCGGCAGAGTTGACTTCCTCATCCAGTGATTTACATTGACCAGCCAATCGGAACGGGGTTTTCTTACGGTACTGATACGGTAAACAGCACGGAAGCCGCTGCGCCCTTCGTATGGACTGCATTCCAGGTTTTGTTTGAAAGTCAGTTATTTTCGAAGTATGCCAGTCGAGAGTCAGTCGCTTAACTCGGCTATCACGGATAATTACTTATGCCGGGCTCAGGTTCATCTTTGCCACAGAGAGCTATGGTGGTCACTACGGACCCGGCTTTGTGACCTACTTCGAAGAGCAAAACGCCTTAATTGCTAGCGGGAAGATCGATGCTGTTCCTATTGTTGTCAGCGCCTTGATGATCAACAAGCAAGTCGCTTTCTTGACACACTAATACCCCGTTGAATGAGCATTCACAGTGGCTGGTATGATCCGCTCATTCAGAACATCGCATACCTAGACTTTGCAACTTATGCCCCTGGCTATGGACAGCTCCAGCCAGATGATGTACTGAAGAACATTTCGGATTCCCTCTACGGTCCTGATGGTTGCGTAGCGCAAGAGAATGCCTGCTACGCTGCTGGAACTTCTACCCAATCAAATAAGATTTGCCGGGATGCTGATAATTACTGCGTGAGTAACATACCAATACTACATGTATGAACGTCACTGAACTCTTTCAGATCAACAATGTCTTCACCCCTGCTGTGGGCGATTACGACTCCTATGATATCCGTCAAAATTCATCGTCTTTATTTCCCCCTGAATACTATATGTATTATTTGCGCAAAGAGGATATCATGAAGAAGATCGGTGCTCAGGTCAAGTACGAGGAATGCCCAGACGCACCCTATGAGAAATTTGTGAAGACAGGCGACGTATGTTTTTGTCTGACTTCTTTCCTTGAGTGCTAAATCTACCTTTCTGTTTAAGGACGCTAGAACATGGCTACCCCAGTTATCGGCTCTTGTCAACTCTGGGATGAAAGTTTTGATTTGGGTGGGTGCTTAGTTACTACTTCGTTGTCTGCCAATTTACCAGGGAAGAACAGGCTGGAGATACTGATATGAAGTCCGTTTTCGTGCTGTAATACCTTTCATATGATCCTGACGCTTCTCATTGACTTCAGTTGCAACTGGCTTGGGGTAAGCCATATCGCGTGTTTTGCTGCCAACGTTGCTGAAGTATTGTTCTGGCTAATAGGGCCATGCGTCAGTTCTAGCAATGGATTGGTATGGCAATGAGACGCTCCATAATACTCCATTCACCAATATGACGATCAACGGCACACCTGTTGCGGCCGTGCAGAATGTCGACAACTTCTCCTTTGCGTGAGTTCTTTTTTTGTCTTAGCAGGCTGTTAACGAGAGATAACATCTCATCATCATTTTACATTTTAGACGTGTGTATGGTGCTGGACACGAAGTAGTCAGTTAACTTCTCTTGAGGATGATGATATCTGCTGATGCCTGTTATGTCATTAGGCTGCCTTCCAACCCCAAGCAGCCTTGGAGATTTTCTCGCAGGTTGTTCGTAAGGAGCAACTTCACTCCGTCTGAAGAGTGAAATTGGGAGCACACATTGTTAAATATCCTTGACGTGTTTAAGCAGTAGCCAAACAGCCAAACTTCGAAATCTACATATCTATGTACTTATTACAAGAAACGGAGGTGCCCTGTTACTGTTCCGACATAGATCGGCTCCCAAAAGCTTCCGAAAGCAAGGTACGTGCAAGGTGACGTTCCTTAGTCATCCACGGACCCCAGCAATTCCTCCCAAACTTGTATTCCTATTCCTAAGCCGAGTAAATCTTGTTGTTCTCGTCGCTGATCCCGTTTTGCTCGATAATCGCAAGCGTTCAGTCTCACCGATCAGTCGTGATGAAGGTATGCACACCGATTTTGCTTGCTCTTCATTACACCACCTTATGCTGACCGTCTCTCTAGATGCTCTCTTTCCGGTGGCAAAGGTATAAACTATTGGATTCACTTTACTCTTCCGCTGACTTTGGATCGCAGGTGCTGCAGTAGACAAGGTTGCTGCTCTTGAGAGAGCTGGTGTTATAGTGACCCTGTTGGCCTCATTGGCATGAATGTCAAGCTCATGTGCCAGGACATCGAGTTTGTCGCAGACCGTTTGTTGGTGTCGCTAGGCAATGATAAGGCTGGCAATGCCACAAATTCATTCGACTTCATGGACATGATCTCGCTACAGGGGAAGACCAACTTCCTCGATTACTCGAAGGCGAACGTCAACCACACGAATGCTAAGACCGATCGGATCAGGTGCGTGACCGACTCGCAGCAATGCCCAGTGGACACGCTGACCTTTTTCCCTACTTCGAGGGTTACTGTGGTGCAGCATTAGCGCCATTGCAGCGAGGTGGCGCTGTTTGTAATGTTGCATCTTATCGTCGTCGAGTTCCAGGTAAGTCTGAAAAACTTTAAACATTGTTAATACATATTACGGGTACTAATTCTATCATTCTAGCTGTGAATATGCGTCAACAACAAATCAACCACTATCTCCGCAGACAGCCTGGCCCTCTCATCGATGAGCTCGCAAGTTTGGCACTGACAGAACAGAAACACTCTGGTCTCTCACTCTCTACCCTCAAAACCCTTTCGCTGTAACGAAAAACTGTCAAAACGACTGCGCGACTTTTGTCACTTTGTCCAAATCGAACTCGTTTTTCCCTAATCACTGGCCTACTCGTACCCGAGGACCCTTACGGTTCGCAACTATATCTACTCATGTACATTTTGATACCTACAGCGAATCATACCCAGTTTTCCCGCTCCAAAGTACTACTCAGAAGTCTCCTAGAACGTATCTGTCTCAAAACGTCCCATCAGCCATCTCAGCATTATTGCTCGTATCTCGTATCTAACCTCTCTCTGTTCACAGTCCCCTTCGAACTCTTACAGCATGCATTCATTTGCATATATCCATCTTTCGCTTCCCAGCCGCTGAGACCTTTCCCTACAACATACCCACAGGAACGTGATTTCCTTCGCTACTTCTGCAAGCTGCGTCCTTTCCGCACAAATGTTGATCGGTACGAAATGCGCGAGAATGGTACTACGCACCACCGCTTTTTATCAAAGATTAAATGAGGTTTCAACTCCTCATACTTTTTTTTCGTTTTTTTTTGGATCCTTGTTTGTTGTCCGGTGGGGCGAGGGTCGCCCTATGCTGGACAGTACATACGTATAGTAAGTCATGTGCGTGGCTGTGGTGTTACAACCTTTTCTTTCAATTCAGCGCGTTCTAGCTGGACCATCAATCGCAAACAGTTTCCCCTCCGATCGGTTGACATCATGACATTTAACAGATGTCAAGGACCGACGCTCAAGGAAACCATACTTGACCTCCACATGGAATCGTTAAACTTACAACGAGGACAAAATGATGAGACGTAAATAACGCAGTCACAAGGTATACATTCAGGATTTTGAGATATCTCTCTATCCTAAATTCTTCATTGCTCAAGCAGCAGTAACATTTACTCAGAAGCAAGCGTTTCCGCAACGAACTACCTACGTGTGGTCTCATTAACCACCCTGCACCAATGAGAAAGCAGAAACATGACTCACTGTACCTATGCGAGATCACATAAGTGCACCAAGAAAGGCTACCACGCTGGTGAGACAACAAATTCTGGATGACACTACTCATACTCACCTCGTCAAAATTTGGGTCATCTTGTAGCACGCACGTATAGCCAGAGCAGCAATCTGAGCTTGATTTGCAATAGGCAGGATATGTGTGGCATTCAGTTTCAGCACTGACAGCCATAGACGTTGTCAAAGCGGCAACAACGGCGAGGACGACTTTGAAGGAGAAATGCATTATGTGTGAGGTGATCTCGAAAATGGATTAATTGGTAGGAAGACTGGGTGTCTTTACTTCTCGAGCACTATTCTGCGCAGAACTTATAGCAGATGACATTAATTTGACATGCCAGCAGATTGCTGATGGAAATTTGTAAAGCAGGCAGGCACTTCTCCTGACACAGCAAACGTTTTGACTTAATGAAATCACGCGCATGGCTGGATATATTGGCATGACGGGGTGGACGGTATCTCGTGCTTATATACTATCCCTCCCGGCTGAGTCGTCACCCCCACAAGTCGTCACGACCTAAATATCTCACTCAATTCTTACTTCCACACAGAATTTACAACTTCAATCAATGTTTCTAACATGTACCGTCTATTGCGAGGTTGAATGACCGATTTTCACGAAGAAATGGTGAAGTTCTTTGAAAGCAGCCAAGGTCACGCAGACTCATGCTGGTGACAGCCAGCAGAACGTTGCCGTGGCGAGTTCTAAATTGATACGACGACTGGCTGTGACGACTTGTCAGTGAGCCGACGCACTCGGAGGTGGCTCGACAAGATAGCCGCTCGAAAGATAAATCACGAGCATCGCGTGATCCTGCATATATATGAGCAGCGGATCCAGGCAGCTTTGCATCAAAGAAGCTGCGTCGGCTCACAATGTAAGTTAGTATTCCACCCTCACTTAGTAACTGCAGGTTTTTACTACCCCATCAAACTAGGTATTACGCACATTAATTCTCATTCTCATGTAGCACATCTTGCACCATACAACCATTTTAATCACAGCCACACTTTGTACTATATTTCACGCTATACCGGTCAATCACAATCATATTTTTTGCTCACATTCCTGAGGCATTGCCGAGCGGGCTTAGAAATGGCAGCTTTGACCTACTGTGACGAAAGCGTTACTTGACGACTTGTGGGGGTGACGACTCAGCCGGGAGGGATAGTATGTTAGATATGTTAGATGTAGCGAACTATTTTATGTATGTGGTGCATGCATATGTTGCATAACCCCGCGCGACAGAATTTATACCACTGTACCTTAATTGCACTCCGAACGACCACCAGCTTGGGACGTGATGCGTGATGGGCTAAAGACCCAAACAAGCGGGAAAAAAAACGTCTCGCAATAGCATCAACTTGTGGAGGCTCGATTGTAAGAACAGTTCATGCGATTTGATATATTTTGAAATGACTTCACATCTTCCATAACAGTTTCCTTCTACAAAGCCATGCGAAAACGCATATGCTCATAGCGTATGCACACAATAAACACATCGCTTTCATGTCACCCACGAACATAGTCCGGATATTGAGATTGATCAAACCGGTGGCCACATTTGACTGCATATAGATGTCAGGACGCCAAACGCAGGTGATGCTAGCAAGACGAACCAGCAAGAACAAGATGAATGAATTCTTATTGATAGCCTCCAACAGCGCGGGCGCGCTGGTTTTTGATCCCTTTTCTTCGATGAGGAGCCGTTTGCCTGAAGGATCGGTTGGATCTCGTATCTTTAACGTTCTCGTGGGAAAGAACACCATGTCGAGTAAAATGTAGCCAAGGATGAAAGAGGTGTTGTAAGCCGCAACCCAGAGGACATATGAGAGGTTTGCCTAAGAAATCATCTCAGCGAAATGAGACTTTCAAGTGAAATTGTGCACGCAAAGCAAAACAAATAGGACGAACCATTCTTCTTGAAACTTCTAAGCCAAGCCTCACGAAAGCCAGAAGCATCCACCAAACCACTGAATATGACAGCAACTCAATAACGATCTTTGCATTTTGTCTAGGTGCTGAAGGATCAAGTTTTCTAGGTTGGTAAGAGGATGGTCCGTCGAGTAACTCCTGCTGCTGCTTCCGGAAAAACGAAGGGGAGGGGGGAAGTATGACAGTTCCTAAAGATAGGCCGAGTATGTGGATTGAAACATAACCTGGTGGAGAGGGATTAGAAGGTGCACGTCCTATAAGAGTAACGAGTGGTACCCAGCAAAGACAGCAAGCCCTCTTTGTTCGCAAAAATAATGTTGCTCCGTGAAGCGTTGAGCAGAAAGTCCTTCATTCCTCCAGATGACAGTGTGAATTGATGCACTATTGAAAAGGCATCTGATTCAAGTTTCTTACGACAGCAGGGCTATTGCTTACGAACTCCAATCCAAAGACCCAGCAGGGAGACGGGGATATGCAAGATGACAGGATGCAGCAAGACCTCGATGATAGGCAAAAGCGCAAGCGTAAGGAAGAAATTCCAATGTACGCCGTACTCTGTCACATGTTCCTAGTCACAGCTGTTAAGCGGCGGGTGCGACATGGAACCTATGCAAGATCCTACAGGATATTCGGTGCCTTTCACGAGCACGACGCGAAGAATGCCTAACACAATGATGGGTATCATCTTGCGGGAGACGGACTTCAGTTTAGGAAGGATCGGAGCCTGGAGGTAGGATATGTCTTTGATGATTGGGATCGCAGACACTACGCCTTGAGAGAATACAAACGAACCAACGCCGATGTCCATCTATGAACCGAATTGTGTGAAAGTTGAGGAACATGTTATGTTCTGGACGCACCAAAGAAACACCATACGTCTCACACTTTGCTAGAATACGGGGGAATACTGGAAAATCGACGGCGAGTATACATAGGATTGTCATTAACATCATGTGAGCACGGTAGGTGGTCAGAGCAGGTAAGAGTCTGAGGGATTGAGATGAGTGCGTTGGTGGAGTTTCTGCTCGACGTCTTCCATTTGGCGAAGATAATTCATGCTGACTTTCAGCTGGTAAAGGCGTGCCTCTTTCAAGAGGGGGGAAAGAGAGCAAAATAAGCATTGGTGCAAGCAGGGGGAGAGACAGTGCGCCAGGAGCTTCCGCAAATAAAGTCATAGACAATAACAGAGGCATGACAAGTATTACAAACTCTGCCAAGAAATATGCAGATCCAGATACTTGAACACGCGAACGCAGTGCTGAATGAAGGGCGACGGAGGACTGAAGCATGATGGTCAGCTTATTGAAACAGAAACATGCGTAGGGATACACACTAATGCAACGCCGCTTATCATATTTACATGGAACACTGTCGAGCCAGTCATCCCAGAGACAAAAGCCTCCTTCGAGGCCTTGTAGTCATTCATCGTGGTCTGCAATATCGTCGGTTGCCAATTATACATAGAGATCACGAGCCTAGCACCCAGTCTTGGGCCGCCGGCCAGGCAAGCTTGTTATTTACATAAGCTGTACAGTAATTATTAGGCACAATTAATAGCCTGCCTCCGACTCCGATGACACAGGACGACACAAGTTGCACATGATCTAACACTTCTGTGAATCGGTACACATAAATGCCATGCAATTTCATTGTCCGAATCCGAGTCTCACGTCCTTTCATCCATCTCCAGGATGAATACAGAGAAGAACGAGCAAGGAGGTTTCTATCAGCAAAGTTCTAAGGAGCTGCTTCCGCACCCTCCAGGTCTAGTTCAAGCCCGGAGGCATTCAAGGGGGCCTGCCTTTCGCAAGTTTCTCGTTTTTGGAACCTTCACTCTTATCTGTTTTCTACTTTACAAAGCTCGCTCTATCTCCTGCTTCCATGGTTTGAAGAAAGACAAGAAGTACTCTGAATCCTATGACAGTTATGTAAAGCGTATCGAGGAGGGCTATCTGTGAGTACGAACTTCATGCTGCGCACTGCACATTGGGGTTCTTTGTTCATCATGATATGCAGTGCCGTTCCATCCACGGAGTCTGCACTTGCAGCCTCGCGCGACTACGCCACACACCCACATTTAGCTGGCGCAGTGGAAGACTTCCAGGACGCAAAAGATATCCTTGCGCTCTTCCAGTCCGAGTTTGGTATCCCTACGCCTGATACTGAGCCCATCTACCCAGCAGGTTCCCCTGAGTCCCGCGAGGCAACTCTCGGCACAACCTCTAAACTTAGCAAACCAGCCGCATGGGTTGATATTTATTACCCAATTATGAACACAGGAAATGCGGATAGCATGGCTCTCGAGCTGCTCGGTGAGAGCGACCAGCCCATCTGGAAAGCCGACTTACTTGAGGATGGTGACCCTCGTGACGAGACCGCTGCCAAGTACAAGCATTCCGTTCCACCGTTCCACGGCTTCAGTGCTGCTGGAGAGGCTATCGGTCAACTGGTGTACGCCAACTACGGCACCCATGATGACTATAACAAGCTCATTAGCGCCGGAGTTAACCTCACAGGAAAGATCATCCTAGCTCGCTATGGTGCTAATTTCCGTGGTCTTAAGGTGAGCTGTGTGGTATATCCAATGACAACGAATTACTTATCTCAGTCAACAAGGTGAAAGGCGCAGCAGAGCGCGGGGCAGCTGGTGTCCTGATTTACTCTGACCCTCGAGACGACGGTAGTGTCACCGTCGAGAACGGATATGAGCCGTACCCCGCTGGTCCTGCCAGAAATCCCACATCAATCCAGCGTGGCTCAGTTGTGTACATCTCGATCTACGCTGGTGACCCCACCACGCCAGGCTATCCTGCATATGAGAATGCAACTCGTATTGAGGCAACTAACATTCCAAACATCCCAAGCTTGCCGCTTTCCTGGGCCAACGCCAAACTTCTTTTTGAAGAGGAGCTCGGTGGTGTCCCTGAGGGTATCAAGTTAAACGGAAGAGTTGGAAGCAGAAAAATTAGGATGGTTAATGATGGTATGCGATTGCGGTTGCAATTACCAGTCGGACTTGTCGCTAAGCATAGTCGTACAGTGAACAGCAAGATCACACCTATCTGGAACACCATGGTTGCAATTCCTGGTCACATAAAAGACGAGGTCGTCCTCCTTGGGTGCCACCGTGATGGTTAGTTTGTGCGAGCTTCTTCTGTAGTGTGTACCTTATGCTTTGACGTAGCTTGGGTTATGGGCGCTGCGGATCCCACATCGGGCACTGTCTCTCTCCACGAAGTTGTTCGCGGACTCGGGGCTCTTTACAAACGTGGATGGAAGCCATTGCGTACCATTGTCATTGCCAGCTGGGATGCTGAAGGAGGTCGGTGTGATTATTCATTATCAGCAGCTCTCCTTATTCATAGATGCCACAGTACGGTCTCGTTGGAAGCACTGAGTGGGGCGAGGATTTTGCCGACTGGATACAGGAGCATGTAGTCTCCTACATCAATGTCGGTATGTTCGTCTGTTTTGTGTCTGTACTGTGTGCTTAAAGTTGACAACAGACGTATCGGTTTCTGGTTCTCGCTGGGAAGCATCTGCTTCCCCTTCTCTGGTCCACCTTATCCAGCATTCCGCCCAAGACGTCCCTCACCCTACTGATGCCCAAAAGACCCTATGGGATGCATATTTTGATGTTGGTCCTTACGAAGGCCCTGTAGATGCCGATTTTGCTCGCATGTGGGATAAAAAGACCTCCAAAGAACCACGAATAGGCCCACTGGGATCAGGAAGCGATTACACAGTCTTCCTGCAGAGACTTGGTGTTCGTCTCTTATCTTATACTCCTGCTGCACACTTTACCAATCATGTCATTGTAGGTTGCCAGCTCCGACCAGGGCTTCGGTGGTACTCCAACAGACGCGCCTTACCACTATCACTCTGTCTATGACTCGCAGATGTGGCAAGAGGTGTACGCAGACCCTGGTTTCCACAAGCATGTGTGTTGTCACACGTCATCCTCGCGTTTGCTGATCTCACCTGCGACTAGGTTGCTGTTGCGCAGAATTTGGGTCTGTTGACATTGCGTCTTACAGATTCCATAATCCTCCCTCTTAACACCACTCAGTATGCGCTTGAGCTTGACTCCTACGTCGACATGTGAGTGTCAGCAAATGCAGTCGCATTATATGCCTTGCTAATTCTTTCCAGCGTCATCGAGTCTACTCGCCGCGAAGAGATTCTGCCGGATCTTTTCCCTCTTAGGAGGGCCATTGCATTGCTGCAGGACGCAAGCTTTAAGCTTGACGAGGAGAAAGTTGCTGCCGAGGAGGCTTTTTATAAGGCTTTGAAGAAAGTCAGTCGTGTCCGGAACCCTCGCGTTGTTCGGCGGATCATCCAATGGATCAAGGAGCATCTCGGTGTTGGTGCACAGGAGGTCCAAGACTTGAGGTTTGGCGCACTCGAATGGATGTCGTCTGTAACAGAGACGAGTATCTCGGAAGCATATATCTGCCGGTCGCGTGGCAAAGGCCCGTTATGCGAATTCATACGGGCAGCTAAGAGAGTCAGAGCCGCTAATCAGAAACTCATGGCGTTTGAACGCGGGTTTCTCTCTGAGGATGGCATCAAGGATAGGGAATGGTATAAACATTTGGGTGTTGCTCCCGGGAAAGACCTTGGTAAGCCTCTTTGTGGTATTGTTGTGCAGTGTGCTTAATGATTTTAACAGGGTATGCGCCAACTACACTGCCAGGCCTAACGGAAGCTATTGTCTATGACGAGGATCGCGAACTCGCCGAGTATGAGGTTGGTCGACTGGCCACACTCATTGAGAACCTCGCAGACTTCCTTGAGGTCTAAAGTATACTACCGCTTGTAGGCTTCCAGGCCAGCAATCACGAAGTTCAATATGAACCTGCTTTCTTAGACACTATTCAGTGTCAGTCTAGTGAGTCCGAGCGAATTGGTAGCGGCAATCGAAAGATGCATACGCGATTCTCAGCCTTGTCAACCATTCAGACGATGGAGCAGCACTCATATTATGCGAGAAGAAAAATCCCGCGGAAAACGCCCAAATGACTTTCCAGTGAGCATCGGTGAGACTTGTACTAATTGTGCTGAACGATAAAGTTATGCGGTCGTAATGATATCCATTGAATTGCAAATCCTTGATAGACATATTAACCCTATAATTTCAGCTAGCCTTCGAAGCAAACGTTAGACGAACGGATTCAAGATTGTAAGAAAATGTCTGCGCAGTGCGTTCTGTCTTCGTATGACCTCTATTAATCGAATCAGACTCGCGATATGCCAAACGGCGGCTCATGCACAGCGGTCTGCTATACTCGGTCGACAAATCATGACCTCGCAGCAATATTAATCTGCATCTGATGTGCATGTTGTGGTGTCACAACAGACATAGACACTGTCAAAGTAGCGACAACGACGAGAAAAGAAACGCATTTTCTGTGCGAGGTGGGCCGGCGCCCCCGTAATATGAAATATTTTGATGGGCATCTCGAATGCTATCTCTTATAGCCACCTTTCGCAGAATTGTTATTGCTGTCAGATGGCAGGAATGTCGGTAGAATCTGCAGCCTGGAGCGTGTTTGATGGATTGAAATTCAATCTATGCGTGTCGGCGCTAAGTGTCACGCGGGAAGTAAGGCGGCGCGCACTTGTGACCAGTGCGGCCGAAGGTTAGTAAAGGTTTTTTTGGGAAAAAATCCGGAGGGTTTTTCGGCCCGAAACATGCACCCGAACTGGGTAGCAAGGTGAGCTGTGACGGGGCGGGTGGGCCCCGATCAGGTCACCGACATTGCAAGTGTCGAGTGCAGTGCGTCGGACAAAGGTAAGTAGTGGATTACATAATGTAACTACGAAGCATTTGTCTGCACCCCTGAGAGAGGGAGTGGCGGGTGGGTGCAAACAAAAACGAGGCTTTGCGGCGTGAGCATACTGCAAGCCGAGTCGAAGCGGTACCGCTGATGTGGACGGCGGGAGCAAGAGCGCTGCGCCACATCGCTTACTAACACATAGACTAAATTCTACGCTGCCTCGTACCTCGGCTCGCTTAGAATAACCATCTACGAGTAGCACACCTTAAGCGAGCTAAATGACACGAGCGTTTCTGGAATGGCTGGTCACCAGTCTACAAGATACCGGCGCAAACTTGAATCCATCAATTTTCCAAAAACCTCTTTCTTGGCCGCAAAAAATAAGGAGTAGGGTTTTGGATGCCCTCAACACCACGAAAAGAGTATGCCGAAGTCATGGTGTATAGTCAGGAGAAAAATGAGCGATCGCAGGTTGGGCAAGACACGGAAATATATAGAGACAGGCCGGGGAACTACCGAGCGTACACTTGGTGGTGGATGTGGAGCTTTGGTGGGAACGCTTGGGGAACGCACATGTGAGTCTTGCTTTCACGGGATTAACATGCCACGACTGGTCACTGAATCGCATGAGCTGAGTTGCTGGCAAGCGCTAGACCAGCTGACTTAAGGTGCACAAAATTGGTCAGCGTTGTCTCATGCAAACACCCACTGGACGCAAGCTCAGCATGTCACAGTATATGTCAGACTGGTTACGAGTCTAGTTCACACCGCGACTGTCATCCTTGGAACATTCTCGCCCTCCATTACATACAGTAAACATGGTCAGAGGACGCAAGAAAGATTTGACTGCTCCCCCTACACGACAGCTTACACAGCAGCGCGATTACCGGGCGCGTAGAGCTCAATATCTTACCGAGCTTGAGCAACGATGTCTAAGGGCCGAAGAGGAGAATGTACGATTACGACGCGAGCTAGAACTAGCTCGAGCTGCCATGCCCTTGGGCTTGCCACAGGAAGTCGTATGTTACACTTCAGTTCTTCGTTTCAAATTTGCAATTCATTGTAGATTCTTCATTTAGGCACAAGCATCATCTGAGCTACTCCGCGACCTACTAAACGCTTCTGCATCGATCGCGCGCTTCCAACAGATCACCGCACCTCGTACGCCAGTCCCTCCCGACGACAATTCCTTCCATCAACGCCAACCACCAATATCCTCATATTCACAACCACCCTCAGGTCCTAACGGCCTTCGCTCTTCCGAATCATCCTCCCCTCGTCAAGCACCTTCACAGCCCATTACGCCTTCGCATATTCTTGCTCTTCAAGAATCTCGAGCTCGCATGGCACCTCCAAATCAGATACTGTTCCCTACTGATGGACAACGGAAAGATCGAGCTTCTGCATCCTCGTCGGCCAGTTCGCAAGCTCAAGCAACGAGCCCATCGCCAAGCCTTGGTTCCGAAGAGTGTTGTGGGGGGTATATCGATTGCACTCAACTATTAGAAGAGAAAGAGGGTGAGGTTGAGGGTGATGATGAAGAGGGAGAAGGAGACGAGGATTTTCGAATGTATCATTTCACACACACGTCACAACTTCGTTTCAGTCAAGGTGACTTCCGAAAAGATACTGAACGCTAAATACTTGGAACAGCAGTCAGAATTTCGTATGGTGTAGCTATCCTGCGTCGCTGTTACATTGACATTGAATCCGTCCCAGGCTGCAAGTTACAATATTCAACAAACCTACGTTTATACATGCGGTAGCGGTTGTTCTAATTATAATCATATCTCATGGCCGACTTTGCGGGCTTATCATGACAATGCAATGTGCGATGGCGTATGAGGTAGTTCCGCTGGAAGATTTCTCCAAAGAGTTTGGGTCGACAACAGGTCAGCTGTCAAAGACCATATCCCTTCTTCAACTGAGCTGACTTTCTACAGAATTGTCGAGTGTATCTATAGGAGGAGAGGTAGTGCATGTTTCGGATGAATTCTTCGCTGAGGCACATCAACTACTGTTAGTCGAGGTCAGAACTTGAACTCCGTTATTTGATACCTTGATTGAATAGATAAGTTTACAGCCGCCCGTAAACCTTGCTAAGCAGTATGGACCGAATGGAGAGCTTTATAGCGGATGGGAAACACGGCGACATAACCCAACGTATGACTGGTGAGCACTTTGTATAACCAATGTATCGCAAGAGGACACTCTGCACAGGTGTACCATCAAACTGGGAACGACAGGGATAATCACTGGTTTCGACATTGACACAACTCACTTCAATGGTATGCTCGGTTTATCGCTCGATATGGGACCAGTACTTGACAGCATCGTTGCATAGGCAATGAGGCGCCAGAGGCTTCTGTTGACGCTGCCTATGAATTTCCAGGCGAAGAAACAATGGTACGCGTGATAGACTCATGACACCATCAGTAACAAAGCTGATTGACGTCCCAGTGGAAAGGCATCCTTCCTAAAGTACGACTGGGACCATCACGCCGACATCTCTACAAGATACCTGCGACAGTGCAGGCTACTTATGTTAGACTTAGAATTTATCCAGATGGGGGAATCGTACGTGTGTGTGTGCTTGTTTTCTTCAAATACCTCATACTTTGCAGGCCCGCTTTCGCGTTTATGGTCATATCACGCCCGTATTTCCTGCAAATCCTGTAGAACCCTTTGACCTTGCTCAAATTTTCGCGGGCGGTAAGGTCATCGCTACGTCCGACGACCATTTTGGGTCAAGCTCAAATCTTCTTCTTCCGGGCCGAGGTCAGTTGACATCGGAATTTCGTTGCAGCTTTTCTTACAGACCACAGGGAAAGATATGGGGGATGGATGGGAAACCAAAAGAAGCTATACAAAGGATCATCAGGACTGGGTCATCATCAAATTGTAGGTTTTACTCGCTTGTAGACTGTCAAGTGTCATTCACGTTCTCAGGGGTGCTCCAGGATACTTGTCAACGGCAGTCATCGATACCATCCATTTCAAAGGCAATTTTCCAGAGAGTTGTGATATTCGGGGCATATACAATCAAGACGTCGCACCAGATGCGAATAGCGACGACTGGAAGATAATTCTATCGCCCGTTAAATTGGGCCCCAACCGCATGCATTTCTTTCGGTTGAGCAGCCCATGCGAGCAGTACACTCATGTCAAGGTATCAATTTGCCCCGACGGCGGCATCAAGCGGATCAGGATCATAGGTGCGATGGCGGCAAAGTGCGAGGCAGATGTGGCAGACACAATAGCACAGGCAGATGGAAAACACCAAACCACTCTGATTATCGTTGAGGAGGGTTGGGAGATTATTGAAGATTGAATATGCCATTTAGTTACAGGTCGACTACGCAAAGGAGCTGTATTTATAACCTTACTAGTAAGCCAGCTCAGGTCATTCACCATGAAAAGATCAGACTCTGCTCAACACCTTAACGTTTAACTTCAGCTTAATCGATTTATCCGAATCGCATACTATGTGCATTGTACATAGTAACCAGTATTCATCTAAAAGTCGGATGCGCTCGATGAGTGCTCCATGAGCGGTGTTTGATTTTAGGCGACCGCTTAGGTGCCATTTGGACAGCGAATTTCGCATTCGAAATTCAAACATTCATCATGTGATCTTGCCGTGGGACTCTCCAGGAGAATCCCGGATGCCACTCGGTGGGTGCACTCCATACTTACGCTGACAACACATCGTTATCATGACAAGATCTCACTCATCGAGCTCACGATCAAGCCATTCCCTTCGATCCAAAGGCCAGGTTGATGCACCCTCTACTACTACACGTCGCAAACCTGCTGCTCACTGGACTACTGAGGAGGAAGCTGCCTTGATCCAGTACCTCCAACAACACATGAGCACCACAGGTGATGCCACCTGGCACAAACTTCAAGAAAACAGTTTTCCAGGGTGCCACCCAGCATCTCAAAGACAATTTTCACCAGCAGCAAGGCGGTGAGAAGGTATGGTCGAGTTGTCAGACCAAATGGGTCCAATGTGAGTACTGACTACTACAGGTGTGCCAGGCACGCTGCATGGTGTTAATACTGATTGTAATTTCTGTAGCTGAAGACCTCTTATTACGGTGTCCTCGAAATCAAGAATGTGTCTGGATTCTCTGTGGAGTGATGTGGATGGCGCAGGAATTTTGTTAGAGTATGAAGCAACATGAACGAATTTTGTCAAGGTATGTAGCGGCTATCTCAACTATACTTGCAACTCACCCTGTATTATTTTGAAAGATCCATAAAGCTGCAAAACCGTTCAAGAACAAGAGCTTCCTGCATTTTGAGGCCATTCACCACATGATGCCACAGAAGTCCCGAGGCAATTGGGTCTGCCAAAACAAACCTCCAGTCACATTGTCCGAGGACTCAGGATCCATTCCGCCTGCTGCACATCATATGTCACACTCTGATCCCCTTGCCACTGCTGCAGCTAGTAGCAGCACTGCACCGCTGCCAGCACAACCACTTGCTGCTCCACCATTAGCACAACCACTCACTGCCTTGAACTTGAGTCAGCTTACTGCAGTGACGAATGAGATCAGCTCTTCTCCAAGTGTCAAACACCACATATTTCAGCCTGGAATCGTACCAGCATCACCAGCCGCTCCATCTACCTTGCCTCATTTTTGACATGGACGCTGTGTCCTCTGTTATGACCAGCGTCAGCTGTCAAGAGAAGCGGAAGGCCAGCACACTAGGCTCAGACATCTCAATTACTAGTTCGTCAAAGCGAGTCCGACCTCCCTCAGCAGCTGTAAAGGCTGCAGCAGGAGAATAGCAGTGCAATGGTCAGTCTTGCTGACATGCTCAAGGACTTCAACCAAACACTTGTGGACACCACAGCCGCAATGTCTGCAAAGGATCTTGCATGTGCGGTTGCAATGGTCAGTGCAAGCACTGTATTCTCAGACGATGAAAAAGTCGACTTGATAGACTATCTTGGATCGAACGAGAGGGAGGTCGTCAAGTACCTGAATATGGATGAGAAGCTCAGATCTGTGTGGGTGCAAAGATGCTTCACTAACATTCGCCTGCAGTAGTATGTAACCATTACCGACCGTGCCAAAATGATTGATCGCAAACTTACCATGGCTTATGTTGCTGGTCGGATTGCAGAGAGTTTCAAGACTATCGTCTTGCGCCAGCTTGAAAACACCTATGTTAAATTCCATCAGTTTGTACTATGCTAATGTACTATGCTAATGGATGTCCGCGCTGAATAGACTCTGCACAATAGTCCTCCCACATTGCCTGTGCTATAGCGTCACGACGCTGTTCTGCACATCGTCTCTCAGCAGCATCAGCAGGCCCATCCCCAAGTTCCCCATGAGCTGCTCCATCCTCTCTGTCGTCTATGATGCAGTTGTTCTTGTTGTATTCGTCTTGATCGAGTAGGTCAGCGTCAGGGTCGTGCCTCTGAATAAAATTGTGCAAGGCACACAAAGCCGCTGGCACTTGTGCTTGAATGCTCATGTTGTACTCTAGCAGTAGTTGTAAAATTCGCCACTGGTGCTTGATTACCCCAAAAATCTGTTCCACTACATTGCGCAGTTTTGCATGCCGGAGGTTGAATAGTTCCTTTGGATTCTGAGGCCTTAAAAAATGCACTGGTCAAGAAAAGCTGTGAGAATGAGAACATGAGAACATACCTAAGGTTAGCCTGCCGCCATTCCTTGAGATGATAGCGCACACCGCGATACGGAACAAGCAGTGCATCACATGACCCGAAGCCAGCATCTGCGAGGAAGTATTTTCCAGGGGGAATGTGCAAGTCCTTTGTGTGTGCAGTCGTTCTAGAGAGCCGCCTCAGTGACAGAGCCATCCCACCCACAAAGCGAGTAAATAAAAAAGAAGTCGACATCGCACATGAAAAGACAATTCTGGGAGAGATATCCTTTACTGGTTCCACATGAACAGCTGGTCCTCGATGGTGGTGAATGCGCAGGATGTGAGAACCTGTCAACAGCACCAAGGCACTGATCAAAAAATCGGACATGCACATCGTTTAAGATTGTGGGAGAGATGGGAGTGTTGTGCTTAGGGAATTGAACCTGTGAGGAGTAAAACAGAGGTGTTGAAAAGAACAGTAACATGCGCTTGAAGTACCTAGGGTCATAAGTTTAATCTTAGACGAATTATAATACAATATTGATTCTCTACTTACCAGTGAGACTGTATCCGATTAACGTTGGAACCTTTCTCCTGATATGGCGGGTCGAGAGCCCTGTGACACAGGTGTACAGAAATATTGCAAGCTGTTCCTCCACAGAAACTCCATTGCGGGACCTTACAAACCCATTGGCTTGTAGGACTTCCAACAAACCATTGAAAACATTGAGGTTCACACTGAGATTGTGTTTGATGTGATCAGGGTGACCAACCGTGAGTTCCAACACCCACGCTTCACCTGTTACAGCAGATGTGTGATAGGGTATGCGTGCACGGTGGGTTAGGAAGTGTGTCTGATAGTCTATGAGGGCCTGGGCAACAACAGCAACTAGAATAAACATCAGGCGCTGTATACGCCCTCATTGCACCATCCCAAGCAGTCCATCGTAGTCAAGTTGTTGTAGGGTAGCAGCTGGCATGGTCGTTGTACAGCACTGATGATCGTTATCGTATTGGAACCTGATACGGTAACCCAGCTTATATAATTATGTTGCATGTGACCACAAATCTGAAATTTGAAAATGGAATTCGCTGTCCAAATGGCACCTTAGTGTCTTTTAAGTTTCTGCACGAGCGAGCATCCCAAATATTTCCAAAACAATATATATTGAGTGAATCTTATGAAAGTGCAAGATTATCACAAGGTAATCAAATCTTATCTACATATCTAGACATACTAGCAGTACTGATAGTAGATATACCTTGTTCAACTAAATCTTTCTTTAAAGAAATGAAGGTGTCATGCACTGCAGGTACCTTACAAATGGTGAGATCGTGTTGTTGAATTAAACGATACTCTGCTCCAGATGACAAAGATGCTGAAAACTCCACCATCTGATGTCTCCTGTTGAGATGCTCCATGAGGACTGAGTGTGTTGCAGCACTGCTGAGTGAAATCAGATTATCGAGAGCATCCACATTGTCCATGTCAAGCTCTGTGTGAAAGCCAGTTTCCCATACAGCTGCAATGATGACAGCATGTATACCAGGATGGTTGACTGGGGACAGCAAATCAGGATCATTCATTTCATGCTAGAGAAAAAAAGCATTAGTCAGTAGAAGTAATAATACAAAAAGAAAAACTTACCAAAAACAAGTACACATGATTCTCAACAAGTAATGGTACACGTTGTTTCCTGTGCATGATCTCCGTGTTTGCGTCTATTGGACAGTTAAGATCGTAATGAACAGGGACTTCACTAGTCATGTCACAGTTTGGCTATGGCTGGCCAGGCTTGGCACTTACTGACTTGCCAGCAACTTGGCGATCCCCATGAACCAAGTTACCTGTGTGTGACTTGGTTCAGTCCACAAACCCACTGAACCAGTACAAACTAGCACAAGCCAAGAACACAGGAACAACAGCTTGAGCCAGCCTCAAGCCACCTTGTGCCAGTTGTTGCGTGGCGTAATTCATTTTCAGGCTTCTTCCCTCCATCTCAGGCTCTCACTATTTGGTCAGATTTGCTGTCTACTTATTAAGTCATCTACCATGAATGTTAGCAAGGTCCTGGTTCAAGTGGATGGCAAATTTAGGCTGGGAGATGTTTTAGGCTCTGGCTCATATGGTATGTACTATGTACTATGTAGTAATTCATTGTTGATTTAGATCCAAACTTGATACACCACTTAGCTGTCGTATATTCTGCATGGAACATCATCAATGATGATTGTGTTGCCCTCCAACTTGAAACCATTGTTGACCACCCATCTTCGTTAGCACGTGAATACCACATTTTGAAGCAACTTGAAGGCGGAATTGGCATCCCCTGCACCCTCTGGTTTGATAGAGAGTCAGTGTATCATGCTCTGGCTCTTGAACTTCTTGGGCCATCACTCTACCAACTCTTCCTCGCAAACAATCAAAAATTCAGCCTTCTCGATGTTGTAAATATCGAAGATCAGTTGGTCAGTTGTTTGGTCTGAGGTCTTTGCAAATAGGTTGACTTACTTTCCTAGCTCTCACGTCTCGAGTACATCCACTCACATAATTATGTTCATGGTGACATCAAACCACAGAACATCTTGATGGGTCTTGGAAATTTGAAGCACACCGCCTTCATCATTGATTTCGGTACCATGAAGACATACTGGAACACAAAAACCAGTGACCATGTACCATTTTGCTATGGTCGAAGTCTCTCTGGTACTCCTGCATTCACCTCAATTAACAATCACTTAGGAGTTGAGTCAGGTCATCGTGACGATCTTGAGTCGCTTATCTACATGTTAATTTATTTATTGTGTGGCTTCCTTCTATGGTTAACCAGTGACGATGAGAAGTTGTCTGGTTCTACCATACTCAAGCACAAAGCACACACTACCATTGTGGATATATGTCAAGACATCCCCATTGAGTTTGCAACTATTCTAATCTACATGCACTCTCTTGCATTCGCAGAAGATCCCAACTACGATCACCTTTGTTCTTTACTTCACAGGTCTTCATGCCTCATTACCTGCACCAGCCACATCCATGTTAGACTTTAGCCAACTCAGTGATCCTGCCACACATCCCCCTGACCAGTGCTTTGTGGCCAAAGCAATCCCTCCATGCCTGTCAAAGGCAACATGCAGATCGACTTGCGTGTGAGTAGTCTATTTTTTACGTCTAAGTCTTTGAACTGAAACTTAGCTTATTTGCAAGGCTACACCCGCGTAATGGCTCCCCATGGTGTGCTGCATCCACACCACAGCGGAAACAGTAACCAGTTACTGAATGATGCTGTTGAATATCTCATAGTTTATATATTATCTGTACATACATTGTACAACTTGTACATATGGGATCAAACATCTCATCCTTATGATATGTTGATATGTGTCACATCAGTGACATCACGCAATGACACATACTGTAACACCCTTATCCATCTCACAGGCCAATTTTGACATCATTTTTGTCTCCTAGACTGGAGGATGTCATTTGGAAGGCTCATGACATAGCCTCTTCTTCAGTACCAATGTCGATAAGGGCATCCAGGATGCAGACCTCATTTTAATTTATGTCAATCAAAAAAGAGCAGTGTTGGTGCTGGCTTTGCTGCAGACTTGAAGTGAGTTTTCAATTTCGTTCTGTCAGCCCTTCTGTTATATGATTGTGTGCTACAGTCATTGACTGTCATTTGAGTTTGAAATTTTCGGATGTCTACCACAACACAACCTGACACAATCTTGAAAATCACTTTCGGGAATGTCACAATAGATAGCTAATCTACTTTGAACAAAATTTTGAAGAACATTAAACAAGACGTTATTCCGCAATGAAAAGTGTGTAAATCTTGGTGTTATCGTATGTTCACCATCATTTGAGTTCACCCAAAAAGGCAGATTTATTCCCTAGTCGCGCAGATTAATCGTTCTTCCTCGCTATCATCTGAGTAATCCTCTTCCTCATCAATGTGGGCGAGTGCCGGCTTTGGGAGTGGGGCCTTGAGTCTCCCAGGCTTCGGTTTGACATGTGTCATGTGTTGTCTCTCCAACTTTGCCTTTGCTCGCTCTTCCTCCCACTGCCTCAACTCCTCCTTATATAATCATGTTCGTGTTTATCGGATCTCGCTTATTTTGCTTCCGTGACACTGATAAGATACTATTGAGACACTCTGCACCAGCAACATTCTGGCAACACACACACTCACTGGCTCCCTTGCGGAATAGAACAGTGATGTGCTTGAAGGTTGTTTGCAGGTATTTATTCAATTTACGAATCTGATTCTAGTTGTCTTGCTTTCAGGGACGCATAATAGTGAAAATTTTGCAACAAAACATACCATCACACATTTGTTCGAGGTCTTTTATACCTATTATTACTGCCAATATGTAGTTAGGCACATAACTCATATGATAGAACAAAAATGTTACATGGGATAGTATCAAATTCGAGTGTCATACAAGGTAAACGCAAATGATGGTGAAAACTCAAATGACGGTCAATGACTGTAATGCAACTGGAACTCAGCTACATCAAGCTCGCCACTCACCATATCGCAAGATTCGCAACTATGGCCACATCATCAAATGCTGTCGTGGAGAAATCTACTATACCTTGCGAGACAGTGGAGTCCATGTGCACTATTCTTTAGGCCAACACTCCCTATCACCATTCCAGTCCATTCATTTACTCCCTTCCTTTCATTTGTTGACTTTTATGACATCCACACTCTTTTTCTCATTCTTCCTTCAAATATTCTCAGCTATTGCAGCTGGCAGCTATCACACTTATCTGAGACTTCCAGCTGAAAAGGGCTCTCAGTTAAGCTGAACCAAATATGAGCAGATCTCAACAAGGTCAGTCCTGAGTCCTGATGTGTCACTTGCAATGAGTAAGTGTCAATTTCTTTCACATCATCCCAGATGATCTGGATGAATGAAAGCATCCTAGTGCTAACGACACTCAATCAAGGGATCTTTAATCAATATATTTATCTGACTGTGATCTAGAACATTACATGGAGCCAATTCACTTTGGGTATGTCCTAGATTTGTTTGTTGCCTCTCTCCCTCACCTCCACTTGGTTCGAGCTCATCAATGTGCTGCCCCATTTTCACCCTGTGATATAGACTTATGACTCCATCCATGCATTGCCCTTGGTATTTTCCACTTGGTGCATGCATTGACATTTTCTGGGGTTTCCCTGAAATAATGTTTATATAGACTGATGATTCTGTAATTAGATTGTCACCACCACCACTGACTACCACAAATGCGAGGCCACCGATGTGGGCAACACAAAGCACAGGCAGCTGTTGCTACATCCACTGCTGCTCCGATCCCTGCTGCTGCTGCAGCTGCAGCTATTGCTACTACTCTTTAAAACCCTCGTCGAAGACAACTTCCTCTTAGTTACAGAACCAGTGATGCAGCTTGCACTGGCCCAGATGAGGGCAAAAGCTTTGACCTCGAGAATATCTCAGGGGATGAAGAGGAATCGGGCAATCCTCCTGCACCCACTGCTATTGCACCAGTGGGCCCTAATCCAAGCCCACTCCAGACCATCATGAGCACCGCCTGGACCAACCCTCTAGCCACCAGCAATCTCAAGCAGGCTAAAGGGTCCAACTGATATATCTCACTTCTACCAGATTGATCCCGACACTAAGGTCAAAACTTGCATCCCTTGTGTGTAAGTACTAAGTATCATATCTGCAATCTTTCATTGTTTCTTACACCCTTCACCAGATCACTACATGAGATTGACAAAACACACAAAGTCCAGGTATACTCAGGCTCAACAGCCAGTTCAGCTCCTCATAACCATGCCTTCTTTCACCACACTGAACTTTATCTGGAAGCAGTGGAGCGTTTTGGCTGGTGCATAACAATAAAAAATCTAAGTGAACGCCTTGCTGAAGGCTGGACACTCACAACAATTTGTGAATGGCTCAAGAAATCACCTTGCACAATGCAATCACTTAGCCCTCCTCCTAACCAGGGATTTCATGCCTCGCAGCTGGCAGGAACCAGCTCTCCAGAAGATGTAATCCCAGACTTCACACTTGACAAAATGCATTTCCAAATTGTAAAGTTCATTGTCGCCAATGATCAGGTGAGTCACAGTTCACCCTTAAAGTCACCATTAACAATTGCCACTAGGCAATAAACATGATTGAGTGTCCCGAATTTAGATGCCTCATCCGTCTCCTGCTGCCCAGGACTAGCCTATTTCACTGCACGAAGGCCCGCAAAATGGTCATCGAGCAATGGCAAGAATACCTCATGGCCTTGAAGAAAGACCTTTTGGTAAGTGCATAATTACTGACAGTCCTACAAAGTATCTTATTTCTTCTAGAACACACAGGGCAAAGTCTGCTTCACATCTGGCCTGTGGTCAGATTATAAGCTCCGGCCGTTCATGGCCATTACAGCTCATTGGATTGCCAAGGTTAATGCAGATTCAATGCTTGTGTTAAAGGCGGCCCTCATTGCATTTCATCACATCCCTTGCAGTCATGACGGACAATCTCTAGGTTCCATGATATTGTACCTGCTTGATCATGCAGACACTACAGCCAAGGTCAGTACTTATTTGTATTGTGTTGCTTGCTCTGACGTTGTTTAGACTGGGCATTTTACTCTTGACAACGCATCCAACAATCATACGGCAATGCAGGAGCTTTCAACCCTACTTGAGCAATGTGGGATTGATTTTGATCCTATTGAACACAGGATACCGTGTTTCCCACATGTGATAAACATATGTGCAAAGCATGTCATCAATGAATACACTGCTACTGACTTCTCCTCCTGTGAGCAATACATGGACGGTTGAAAATAAGACCATCAGGAAAGTAGATTATGTCTGGGCTGTGCAAGCTAAGCCTCTTGAGCAAGCCAGGAATATTGTGCAATTGATTCGTGCATCAGACCAGCGGCGCGATAGGTTTTAGGAAAGCATCCTTAGGGGTAATGAGGAGGGGTGGTTTCGAGATGACAAGGGCGAGCTTACACAGCTCCTGGTCATAGAACTCCTCCTTGATGAACCTACTAGATGGGATTCAGTTTATGTGATGGTAAACTGTTTGCAGACACTCCACCAGGTGAGATGCCACACCATTAAACATATCATAGACTGACTAATTGGCCCAGGCAATAACCACATTTTTTGATGTTTGGACTCAGTGCAACATATCTGAGAAAAGATTGAGTGAGATGGATTGGCAGTTCCTCCAGGACCTGGAAGTGATCTTGGAGGTAAGTACTAACACATTTGAAACACATGATCCATTTTACCCTTTCACACCAGGCACCCCATGCTGCCCAGCAAAAGCTCTCCAGTGAAAGCACTCCCTCACTGAGCCATGCTGTTCCAGTGTTCGGAGAGTTGATCACTGTAGAGCCTCGCATCTCCACAGACACTTCCCTCTGAATTCTCCCACTTTCCCTACAAACTCCATCTCTAATTCACAGGATACGTCTAGTGCATTAGTGCACTTATATTTTATTTCACAGGTTTTGTGTGTGTGGCCTCGCAGGTTTGTGCACTTCACACATCCACACTCACATTGTCCACGCACTCGTCCGTCCATCCATCCCATGTCCTTAGAAGTTCATTGGTGTGTTTTCCCATCATATTTCCTTTTCGTCTAATTGGTTTCCATCGCTAATACTCAGCTCTGTGCTTCACGTGTAACCGAGACCCTATTACATACCTTGCGTACTATTTATATCCTGTTTGGCTTGTTACATCGGACCCACGCGCCTAGCGGCGCTTAGTTATCTTTATTTATACCCCTCTATTATTTATGTACGGGGTCGATTTTCCGCCCACTTTCTTTGTGTCTCTAGATACTAGGAATTTTACTTGTTGTTTGCAAGTGACTATCTAAAGTTGTGCGCTTCAGTTACCCACCTTCGCCTTAGCATCAGCCAACCTTAGTTGGGGTGTTAACTCTCATCTTTCCTTCGTCTATCTCGCTCGTCCCTACTTCGCCCTCACTCATGCATACTACCTTTGTGTCACGCACCTCGCCTTTTGCCTTTCACACTCGTGCGTCATCGTGCACATCCGCTTTTTGTTTATCGCATCATTCTCGCCTCGCGTTTCGTGCATCCTCAGTCTCAGTACCTTATCAGTTGTTTGGTGTCCCTCTTTTTACAAGAGAGGTTTCCTTTTGCTCAGTTAGCTGCCCTTTGTTACGACTTGGATGGTATCTGTTGGTGACGCTCAAACAGAGCGTGTGTCGTCAACGGTCGTGGACGTCCTTGGGCTAGCCCAAGGTTAGGGGTCTTACTTGGCGAGTCTTCGGCAAGTAAGATTTGACGCCTATGTCCGAATTGGGTAGCTTACGTCAAGCGGGTGCTAGACGATGAGCTGTATCTGCCAAGGCTTACGACACCCGAAGGTTAATCGTAAGAGCGTCGTTAATTAGAAGGACAGAAGTCTGACTAGTTAACAGGGGCTTTGCTCATCGACGAAGTCGATGAGTAAAGATCGAGACTAAGGACTTATCCTGCGAAGAGCAGATAAGAAGATAGAATATAGACTGCTGGCTAGGCAGAAAGGATCACTCTGGTGAGAGTAGGAGGTCAAGAACCAAGTAGATTCAAGTTAGGGAATATAGTACATGGTAGCGAGTTTATATAGAGGACAGGAGGCGTATTAGTGGGTGATAACTCGTACTACCAAGAGAGGCAAACGGTAAAGGGCATAACCATAAAAGGAAAGCACGTTCGCGTTGAGACACGGGTGAGGCAGAATGTGCTAGATAAGAAAGTGAGTCAAAGGTCGAAATAAGAAGTGAAACGCGCAGAGGCATGATCGTGCAGCTGCGGAGCTAAGTATAAGTCGCATGTGCGACTGCACACTGAGTCAGAGATCAAGAAAAGGGAACAGGGCAAAGGGGATGCGTCGTGCATCATATCATAGGTTACCGTCCAGATGGTAAGGGCAAGGGGACTGTCTGCAGGATCAGTCAGGTGGTGGAACAGAGCATGGGTATGCTTCGTCAGCAAAAGGATCCGGCCAGATGTACTGGCTCTGCTGAAGCGACAAGTAGAGGGCGAACGGGAATGTGAGGATGACAAGGATGACCAGGGTAAGGTCGGGGTAAGGGTATGATGCAAGGGCTGATACGAGGAGGATTAGGAGAAAAATGGTAGGGGCCCAAGCATCTAGATGTTCTTGTAACACCCTTGGGACAACGATTTCACTTGCGCCTGGGACTATCTGTGTTTGCTTAGCTTAGCACCAACTTTGACCACAGTTTAGATTCCTCATCTTCATCGCGAGCTGGGAGTCTATTGGCCTGCATGCACCTCACTGTAAGCCTGTTGTTGACATAGCCTTAACCTGGGCAAGCAAATACACCGATCAGATGGGTTTGACACATGCTTATGCTGTTGCTATGTGTCAGTCACTTTTTTTGTTTTAATCAATGTTGATCTCTTGATTACTTATGTAGTTATTGACCCCATGATGCGGATGTCATGGATAAACAGTCAATGGGAGGAAGACCACATTAATGATGCCAAGGAGTTCATTGTGAAGCTGATATGTTTATTTAGTAAATGAGCACTACTTTCAACTGATTTGTTCTGCAGATGCATAGCAAGAGAACGGAACAATCTGATCCTGCACATTCTGAACCTGTAGTGGTTCCACAACTGCTGCCACGCACACTAGGCTCACATTGCTATGGACTTCCTGACATGCATGCGCATGCACAACATCACAACGATGGTGATCAAACAGTAGATCAGGAGTTCCCGGCATATGTTATGGCTACTCTTAGTCCCCATGGAACAGATGTACTCACGTTTTGGAATGGGAGTCCATCACGTCTTCAAGTCACACCCTTTGTCGTTAACTGCAAGTTGCTGACCAGGCTTCACAGGCCATGTACCCAACCATATACTCAATTGCCATGGACTACACCCCGGTACAAGCTTCTGCTGTGCCATGTGAGCAGGTGTTTTTATCAAGTAGCAAAACCCATACAAAAAAAAGGAATTGCCTCGACCCCGTTTTGATGGAAGCATTACAGATGGTCAAGTTTTTCCTAAAGAAGGAATGTCTCAACTTCACCACAGGTTGGGCAGCCTCCCAAAGGGACATGGAGCATGCAATGCTATATGACAGAGGCTCTAATGAGCATTTGACACCTACTGCCAGTACAAATGATGCTCTTCTCAGAGCCATTGCAGAGGAGGAGTGTGACAACACCACAGACACTGCTACCATCTATGACAAGTGAGTCTTCTTATTTTTCTTGTCTGACTTTTATTTCTTGCTGTTTGCTGTTTTCCATTTACCATTTACCATGTATTGTCTGCCATCTGCCATTTACCTTCATCTCTCATCTCTTGATTATACTACCTTTGCTCATTATACCGATCTCAATGCTTAACTTGTTTCATGCACTTCTGCATGATTGCTTTCATTTTTCTTTGCAATGCTTGCCTGAGCTTGAGCCACATTGATCGAACTCATTACCACCATTCACAGCCTGCGAGCGTGCTTATTGCCCCCCAAATTTGAGCCATGATGATGGAACTCATTGCTCACTGTTCTCAGACAGTGAGTGTGTTGATTCTCCTTCAAGCTTGAGCCAGGCTGATTGAATTTGTTCACAGGGTGAGTGCATCAAAATTGTGCCTTTTGACAATGGCAATGACTTCTCAGAGACACTCACTCGCACTAAATTTGAAGAGCTTAACATGGATCGTTCCATAAGACTGTCAAGCAAGTACTCGAGGATGCAAAACTAACATCTTTCAAAGACTTGTACTTCGAGCTTGAGCCAGGCTGATCGGACTTGTTCACAGGGTGAGTGCATTGAAATCAAGCCTTTTGACAATGGCAACAACTTTTCAGAGATGCTCACCCATGCTAAATTTGAAGAACTTGACATTGATGATGCGAAACTAAGGTCTTGTGATGACCAGGTACATTCAAAGGCCTATATCATTTGTATACATGTAACCGGTAACTAATATTTCTGTTAGATGTCTCTCTGAGCTCATCCCTCTCCAGTTGTATTCCCCCCTTCCTCCTTCACCGCAACACACTGTTTCTTCAACATCCCACCAAGCCTTTTCTTCAACCTCACACTGAACAACCTCTTTAACACTGCATCAAACTGTTTCTCCATCTGCTGCTCCATGACATCTACAGCAACCTCGGTCTCTGCCACATCTATGACACCCTTGGTCTCCATGACACCAGCTGCAGCCTCCATCTCTACAACATCTGCTTGCGCCCTCGCCTCTGCCTCTAGTTGCCTTCAAAAATCTCTTATCTTACTTCTAACCTCCAGCTTGCTCTGCTTTAATCTTGCAAGCACTCACAGGACTGCCGTACAGCTATCTCAACTTAGCCTTCTTAACATTGGACTCGACAGATGACTTGTGTTTTTTTGCAGACCCATGTTGATTTGTAATCAATGTAAATCGTCGATATCCAATAGGTATTAGGTATCTGCGGTGATGATCTTAGAGTAGGTAGGTACTAGGTAGGGATCATCAAGTCTCATAAATATTCCTTTTTTTTGGAATTTGACCCTGTCTCACTCAAATGTTTATATTTTACTCTTAAAACTGGCTCAAACTGGCTGAGAGACCAAAAATGTGACTCCATGGACCAAACCAGGCCTAGAATTACATAAGCTAAAACTAGGTACATGGCTCAGCCAACTGTGGCTGCGCCCACAGCTAAAGCTGGAATAAGCTGGAATTGTGGCAACACTAGACTTCACAGCGCACCCTCGTTTTGAAGGCCATTCATATGGTCATTGTGAGGGTTCAGAGGGTCTTGAGACAAGTTTGATAGTTGGGAATCTCCATGTCAGGCATGAAGTCCTGGTGAGCTGTCAATAGCGCTGCCTCTGCCATCGCCATGTTGATGCCCATTTCAGGCATAGCATTCTCTAGTATTACCTTGTGGTGCACATTAGACTTCGCACCCTCCATCATTGTCTTGAATCTCTTGTTAGTCAAACATTGGGGAGCATAGGGGTGGGAGCGTGCAGAACTATTGGCTACAGGCCTGGGAACAGCTACAGGCAAAGTGATGGGTGAGGGAAGAGTAGACACCAGAGGCAAATCTTTCTGAGATGGGAGTGGTACAGTAATGGTGATATCTCCTGTAGCCTGTAAAAGTGTCAGTCATGATCATGTTACAGTGAGCAACACTGTAAAGAGTAGATCTGGGCTGGGCTCTACAGAATGTGAGTCCCTAGTCCTGAGAGATGCGAGTATGCCTCGTCCCAAGAGACAACCTAAGAACTACCTTGATAATTGCAAGGGAAGTCTTATACAGTCAGAGAGTAGACAAGATATTGGAAGTAAACCTCTTTAATGTTCGTCCGTAGTTCCGAGACTACTTCCGAAGTACCGAGAAACTTGTCCAATGCGACTGAAGGTTGTCCGAAGCTGCGAAAGTGTTGTCCAAAGTAGTGCGATGTCTTCCAAGACTTGCGAAAGCTGTCCGAAGGTCAATATATGTTGGTATGTCGATATGTCGAATAACAGTGTAAGACTTTGCAAAACATCCGAAGTCCAGAATGACGCTAATCTATCGGAACTCAAGAATAAACGAAGTGCAAAATTGGCAGCGGTCTAGCCAAACAATTGTTCCAAATGAACTAAGATCAGTTGCGCAGTTGCAATTATACCGAGGTGACTCTACTAATTACAACTTGAAGTACAGGAAGTGAAGTGAAGTATCAGTAGCCAGCAAGCGAGATTATATCCTACTTCTGTGAGAGACCGGAATCCATAGGCGAAACTAGTAGCAAGATAAGCAAGTCCGAACCTATGTAATAACCCGCGAGGTGTGCAGCAATGCAAGTATACATGTAATAAGCCGCGATGCGTACTGCTTATACGTATTCTGAGGCTCCCGACAGGATGCCGATGGAATTTTATCTGTGTAGCACTAAGACGTAGTCAACATATAGTTAGAATAAGGGAAAATGCACCAGCGAAGTCAAAAGGACAAGGATAGGACATGGTATGGTAACTTGCAAGGTTCAGACGGGCCTCGGAACACAAGAACTGCCTGCGGAAGGTTCGGACAAGTGTGCGCGACCTTCGGAAGGTCAAGGGAGGTTGGGGAATGGTATGAACATGAGTGTTGGATTGCCTAGTTCTGAGCCCAGCGCTGCGACCATCGTTACAACGCACTCTGATAACCCTGGTTGGGAACAGTTGTCCCCAATGGCCTTTGGGTAGGCAGCAGGGATCATATACGAACACCTTGCAGATTCCAGGAAGGTTGATGGGCAAGTGTCCCAGGTAGCGTGTCCGTTCTTCCTCCCTCTGCCTCTCTTGCATGTGTCTAATATTCCTGAAGGTTGTCGGTGTGGGCACATCAGATTGACATGCCTCATGAGACATGAGTTCTGGTGGTATGAATGGAATAGGGACTTGAGGGAGTCCATAAGTGTGAGGATAAGGGGCTGATTGTTGCTGAAGCTGCCAGGAGTCCGGCAGTGAACCTGGCTGTATGAATGGCGGGTGGTAGTTGTGTGATGGGCCTGGTTGCCCAAGATGTTGCTGTTGGAGTTGCCTAGAGTCTGGCGGTGGAGTTGGCTGCATGAATGATGGGTGGTAGTTGTATGATGGGCTTGGTTGCCTGAAAGGCTGTTGGTAGGCCTGCAATGGGCCTGGCTGTGCACAATGTTCATTGTCTTCCTCCATCTCGTCTTTCTCCTCCATCTCGTCCTCATCCTCATCCTCGTCCATGCCTTCAGAGTCGATCAAGGAAATCAATTGCTGATATGATGCTGGAGGTTGAGGTTGTTCGATACAGACACCAATCTGGCTTGCATCTGAATTCAAAGACAGTTTTAAACCTGAATTCTTCCCTGGTTTTTTGATTGCCTGATAATATTATATTAGTTGCTTGTGTAAATAGTACCACAAAACTTACCTTTTTATTCTTGCGCAAGGGACACTTTTTTGTGATCCTTGTGTGCTTGTGACTTGCACTGACCTTTGGGGGCATAACGATCAAGGTGAGTGGAAAATGTGTAAGAGAAATGTATCCTGAGTCCAGGTGCTTAGAGGTGCTTTTTCGAACTGTGAGAAACAGGGCTGCTGTTGAAGAACCACACATAGCCCATGATGGATATATGGTTGTTGGGGCAACCTTCCACCACTTGGTTAGGGCAAGGACACTGATATTTGTGCTTGGTCACTGAACCTTGCACTGGCTGCTGCATGGGTGTTGATGTGGGCATGGGGAGTAAATTTGCTAAGGGCACTGCAACTTGCATGAAAATGGCTGGTGCGGGCGATGCGGGTGCCATAGCTGGCAACAAAAATATAGCTGCGTCATATGTCTTTCATTGGATATGGATCCTGTGGGTGATGATCTGGATACTTAATCAGTAGACACATGTGCATTTGCATCTGAATATCACTAGGCAATCCTTCTAAAAATATGTGGTTGTTGTCTTCTTAGATAGATGATCTATAGATGAACACCTACAAAATCAAATATCTCCACGGTCAGTGATTCAGACAAATACCAATGACTGATAACATGGTTGTTCGTGGGTGGCCTGTCAGTATATCCAAGCTACGGTCAGACAAAGGTACTCTACAATATCAGTATAGAAACACTAGTCAACCCAGCAGTATGGTGTTGACTAAAAGAAACAAAGAAACAGAAAAAAAAGAACCAAGACTAAGCACAATCAATGGTGCTATATTCTAAACTTACTATGACACAGTCGTGCGAAGATGTATTGGTCACTCCCACAGCGCAAACAGGTAGGATCAAAGGTCAAGACTTGTCAAAAGCTTCCATAGAACTCTTAGCCTAATATTGAATCTGCTGCCAAGGAACTCACGATGAGTATTAAACAGAATCAGAAACGGACGTCCTTGGATTTCAATACCAAGTCCCCTATTCAATAGCTAAAGCCTATCTGACAAATAACAATCCTAGCTCAGTATACTACTCCGATGTGTGAGGTCAAGCGGACAATAATCAACTTCTGAAGTCTCCCCACTAAGCTACTCTGAGCCTTTAGTGGACGTAGAAACAACACGAAGAATCCAAAGATAAGGCTCGAGTGTATTTGCTACAATCAAAAGTACGTTAGTATCAGCAGCAAGAAACAAACACTCAGTATATATTCACTAAAATCTATAGCACAGTTAGTGACACAACAATAAACGAGCACTCAGACTATTAGCTTTCAATGGGTAGAGAGAGTGAAACAGATAGAGTGAAACAGATCCCAAGCTGAAGAAATAGATAGAGTGAAACAGAACCCAGACTAGTGAAACAGAGATAAGGAAATAGATCCCAAACTAAAAGAAATAGATCCCAGACAAAAAGAAATAGATCCCAATCAAAATGAAATAGATCCCAATCCTAGAGAAACAGAGATAAAAGAAATAGATCCCAAACTTAAAAGAAATAGATCCCAATCCTAGAGAAACAGAGATAGAGAGATAGAAACGGAGACACGTGCACACAAACACAAACACTCAGAAAAACAAGAGACTTCTCAAAACAAATAACTAGGCCTTGCAGGTTGTTGAGCACAGTGAGCTCAATGGCTCCTACTGTCTCATCAATGTACCTGACAATGTCAAACAACTCTTTGTGGTTGTTGCTGATGCTGATCACACACAAACCTCACTCGCAATTTTATTAAGGGTGACTCTGGGAGTCAGATTGATTGCATTTCAGGCCAAAACGGAGGTCCTTATATAGACAAATCTACATGGCTGTGCTAATTTACTCCCACATACCTAGGTATATTCAATTTTCGTTTTCTCACATATCTAGATATACTACATTATTTGTCATAGATCATAATACCCATGTGAATCGTACGTAGGTAAACATGATTTGTCAGGCTTAGTCATAGATCAGCTGACTGTGGTAAGAGAACATGGTTTACATAATATGTTGAAACTTGTTTGTATTTGGTGTTATTTAGAGACGTAGCATATGTCATAAAGCAAAACCAGGTAACACGTGTATTTAAAGTTTCCTGGAAGTTCCCGCAAACAAACATATGTGGAAAGTATTTTTCATGGAAGCTTCAGATGCATGAGAATCTAGCTGAGTCATCTTCGAGCCAAATAACACAAAATTCATTCCATGCAAAATTCCCGAAAAATATTCACTAACACCGCACGGTCATGCACCAGACCAGTTTGGTGCAGGTCAGCGCAGCACACGAGCTGAAGCCAAGCCCTTCAGATTGAACCTTTGAGCACAATCTTAACAACTATATAGCTTCTGGAAGCTGGCAGTAGTAGCACTACATGAACTATGTAGTGCTATATTGCTGCATATATTAGCACTACAAGGAACTACAGTCTACTACTGTAGTACATGATAGTGCTACTTGATTCTACACAGCACTATATAGTACTATGTAGTACTATATAGTTGCCTCACATACTATGTAGAAGGGACTTGGCTACTGAGCTACACGGTCTATTCTGGCTATATAGTACTATATAGTGACTAGGCTTTTTCCTAATATAGCTGTACTAAATTTAGTGTTTTGCTGATGTTTGAACAGGACAATATTATCAACCAATAGTTTCATGAATCACTATTTCCTGTTAAAGTCAACTTAGTGCATAAGAATTGCATTTCCAACTCTGAGTCTGAAGTTGACATATCTGAGAGCTTGCATCCATTAAACCCGGAGATATTGTTTGAGTCAGAGAAGATGCCTGGTGCATGTCTAGGTGATATATAAGAATTGCTGCTTATAACTAAATAAAAAGCTTCTCTGTTTTCTTTTTCATATGATCCAAAGAATATAATGTTATTGATCTTTTTGGTGCTCTGCAATCAAATGATGGAATTTAGCATGAAAAGAATTGTATTGATGTTGCTGGCTCTTATGCTGCTGCTGGAACATAGTTCTTGAGCAGTTCTTTTGGCCTGATTAATTAAACACTCTAAATGTCAGCAATGCTAGTCTCTGTAGTCTATGATTAACTTAGTATGGTAGGACATCAGCTAAATAATAATATAGTTTAATGCAGTGCTGGCTCTCTGTAAGGCTAGAATTATAGCTCAATGGATATACTCTAGAACTGAATAGTTGTGTGCAGTTAAAGTCAGTATTTCTTATGCTATATTGTACTTATGATGGGTGGCTGGGTACTAGGTATCGGGTCTATCCAATGTTATCAGCAAGGTGTGCAATACTACAACTACACTTCAAGAATCTGATCCCCATGTAGCTGAAACTATGTGTCTACATTGATGGAGAGATTCATTAGGGGAGATACTGGATTATTAGACCCCTTCTAATGTTTTTGAGCAGTGCATTCTTGCTTTGCCATTGGTAAGGTCCAACTTAAATCACTGTTAAAACAATTTGACTTTATTATATGATTTAGGTCTATTAAAAAGTACACTCCCTACGCAGTGGATTTTATTCTGCTGTTGAATTCATTTTCTCTACTGTTTCCTCATTTGAGCTGTTCTAAATTGGTGAAGAAGAATCAACTCATCTCTAAGTCAAATGGAAGAAAATGAAGAAAGACACAAGAGGCTGATATAGTGATCAAAATGCAATGCCTAGAGCTGCTAGGCTTGCAGAGACAAGCATATTCAATCTAAAAGGAAGCAAGGAAACAATCCACAGGTCATGCAGTGACTGATTCTCCTAGTTGTATGCTTTCTAAATAGAATTAGATGGTTTACACATTTTTATATCATCTAATCTAAGTATCAGAATTACTGTATTATTCAGGTGATGATATCACTGTGGTATAAATTCACAATATGTCAGATAGTACCACATATGTCTAAGAAGTTGAGCAATAAATTGTCTCTATCTTGATATACAAAATGGCTTGCATGATTGAATTTCCCTATCATAAAGCAATGTGACTTTTGATAAGACATTAGTGAACTTAATGTACCTTCTTTGAAATATATTTATTTTATACTGATACTATAGCTTTACCTTCAATATTGGCCCCTGTAGTGTTGTTCCAGTAGAGATCAGATTGTTGGTGATATTTATAAATCACATTATATGTCTGCTTTAGCTATATGATTTCTTATCAGTATACAACTAGATGACATGTCAATATACAACATACTGATACTCATTTTGTCTTATATATTTCTCCTGTCCTCTGTAGATCATTCTGTAGATACTCAGAAATAGTCTCTGTAATACCATTATATATCACATTTTTGAAGTTACTGGTATCTCTAACTTTGTTTCAATTATTGAATAGATACAAGAAAAGCTGATTAGTTTCTGTGTTGGTTCAAACAGTCTTATTTGCACAAGATAACTTCCAAGTTATAAAGAAGATATGGACCTGAGCTAATAAAACTATAAATATAACACTAGTCCAAATGTAATTTTAATCTTATAAATCTTTAATCATATATTAAAGTATAAAACAGCTAGATATTATAAATCAAAGAAAAATTTAAACTCCATCATTAAGCCTCAAACTGGAACTGCTATACTAATGTTATATAATATTCTTTAATTTAGCAAATTCACCTTATCTCTAATTACTTAACTAGCTCTAAAGATAAGCATGAAGCTGAGATATAAGTTCATATGATTTTAAATTGGCCGACTACCCTGCTAACTCAAACTAACAAATTAAAAATATTATGTAATGCCTGAGATCTCAAATTGTTTGAAATTCATTGAGCTTCTTAACTTTTACCTCCACCATACACATCCATGTTCACATCTAATCCATTACATAGTAATTCTATTCAAATAAATAATTCTAACATAGACCAATCTAAGTCTGACTATATCATAGTGCTGGCTATGATGATGTTCATCTTTCCAGTCATTCTTACAATTATATTTACATGAATACATTTACCTCAGACCTTCTTTAAACATATCATCATCATCATAGTGATAACTATAATATTACCCTTCTTATGAATCCTTACCAGGCTGTCCAAAAAATTTTGATACCCTATTGGAGTGCTTCTACAAGCCATCAACTGTCTTGATGATGGTACTA